AATCTGTAATTTAAGGGCAAAATCATAACAGACAATATTGTGCAATTATCAAAAACAGCATACTGTGATCCAAGGAATGTGTCATGTTCCGTCTTTCCATGTGTTTATTTGAGTTTCCTGTGTCCTGAGTCTCCTCGTTGTCCTGTCTTTCCCTTCATTGTTCCCCAGGTGTGTCTCGTTCCCTGATTACCTGTGTATTTAACCCCACCTGTGTCCTTTGTTTCTTGTAGGGTCCTTGTTGTTACTTGTCGTTGTTAGTCGCCATTCATTGTTGTCCTGTCCACTCTTATGACCTGTTGCTACCGGTGTGAGCCCTGGCTTCCGCTCAGCCGTGCTGCCTGGCCAGTGGACTACTGTTGACTGTGTTTTTTGGACATTTGTGATCATTAAAACCACCTTTTTTCATCTACCTGGGTCTCTGAGCCTCTGCCTCACCACCTCAAACCATCCAACTTCTGATAGAATGTCCAACTGAGAAAGATTTTTTTTTGTAAATGTACAACAATATATTGTGCTTTAAGACAACAAATTGACAATTCTTATACTCAAAGCTGTTCAAAAACAGGGTGTGCACATAATGGAAGGAATTTTAATTAAAATGTGTAAACCTATGCAAATACCAGGAGAGAGGTATACACTTTGAGTTTTTTGGGAGAAGACTATAGAGGTTACCAGCTGCTGGGAGGAAGGTTCTACGATAAGGCCTCTTTGTGCACTCAGGATGCAGCAGTTTGTAGAAGGAGCTCTCCTGTTCAGCAACAGCTTCATTAATAATAGACATTAGCCAGAGTACTTTAATTTACAACCACCTGCCCTGAGTGCATTGGGGCCAAAGTGGAAACAAAGCAAAAAATTCTTGTTAGTGTGCAAAAATTTGGTGAATAAAGAGTCAGATTCAGCAGTTAATATTGCCACAAATAAATGTATAGATCAGATTGCGTAGCTGAGATGAAAACTATTAGTCAACGTCGACTGAAACTTTCTCAAGCTGGTTTCTCGTTTCACCCTGAGGGAAAGACTGACTGACAGATAACAAAACAGGCTAATTTTGAGGAAGAGTGTTCAATGACTTCCATGTCCAAGTACGCAAATAATTGATGCTTGAGCCGCCCTATTCACTTTCTTGTTGGGAGACTAGCAAAAGGGTGTTAAGGTGTCTTTGTTTTAAAAGAAGAGCTGAGGTTTAAGATGTTGTACTTGTGACAAGACATTTCAAAGCAGCTTATTAGCGTTGTCTATTTACAGTACATTGCAAAGCTATTCCTACCCTGGGGTCATTTGCATATTTTCCTGTCTTACAAGCACAAATGTCAGCACAACATGGTTCATAACAAAGTGGATGGAAAAACATGTCCATTCACCCATCTATCCATTTTCTGTTCACACTTATCCCTAAAGGTGTTAGGAGTTGCTGGGGCCTATCTCCAGCTGCATTCCAGGCAAGAGGCGGGGTCACCCTGTCGCAGGGCAAGACAGAAACAAATAGGACAAACAACCATGTACACACACACTCACACCGAGGGAGAATTTGGAAAGACCAATTTGGAAAAACACGTCACATTCGCAAATTATTCACAAGTGCGGTGTTTTTTAATTTTTAAACTTAAACTTAATTTAAGTATGTAAGGTGATTGAGAATAAATTCTCATCTTCCCAAACAACCTGTTCAGAAAACATTAAAACATCATACAACAGAAAACAGAATATAATGGAATTTACATTCACACCTGCCAAGTCCAAACTATGTAGAATAACTTTTCACAATCATTACAACAAAACATATATTTTGTGGTGTAAAGTAAATAAACTCCTTGAAACTGATCTTTTCATCTCCAAATTTCTGTGACATTCTGACCTTTTGTTGACCATCAAATGAGCCCATCCATCCGTCCCTCCTCCCTCCATCCATCCATCCATCCATCCATCCATCCATCCATCCATCCATCCATCCATCCATCCATCCATCCATCCATCCATCCATCCATCCATCCATTTTCTTTTGTTTATCCAAGGTCGGGTCGCGGGGGTAGCAGCTTAAGAAGGGAGGCCCAGACTTCCATCTCTCCAGCCACTCATTCCAGCTCCTCTGGAGGAATCCCAAGACGTACCCAGACAGCCCGCCAAGAAACATAGTCCCTATAGTGTGTCCTGGGTCTTCCCCAGGGCCTCCTCCCGGTGAAACATGCCCAGAACACTTTGCCAGGGAATGAGTCATATATCTTAAAAGCATTTATCTAATCATTTATAGCCATTTTTTCCCCCACTTGTATTACTGTCATTTCTCATTTTCTTGGACAATGCAAAAGAGCATAAAGATCAACCATAACACTCTTTTACTTAAAATTATCCATACTTAATTATGACGTGGTTCACTACTCAATGTTGATTTTAAAATTATGAGTCAGCAAACACTTTTATCTTTCGAAATAATAAGTGTACAGAGCAACTCTTAACACAGAGAGTTAAGACACATTTTCTTAAAGTCTATAAGGTTCTTCAATAATTTCATTTAACTTTTGCAAAATGGGACAAAGTTTTAACTTTACCCCAGTTCTGCTTCTGACCAGCTGATCAGTCCCTCATGGTGTGTTTGCTGTCTCTCTGAAATCATACTACCAAGCAGTTCAGAGTTCTGAGGCTCACATTCCAGGGTGTAAGTCCCATCTCATTATTGAGGGGGACCGTAAACAGAAAAAAGTCTTAAGAGAAATTTTTGGGGGGGTCGGTGAGGTTCCATTTAAATGTAATGTAAAATGTGGTTCAGCCCCTCCCTCCCATTTCAAACTCTTTTAACTAACTAAAAGCTAAAGAGCTACATATAAATACAAACATTATTGAATTTTGCATCCTGACTTTGTGATTCCAAAAGTTTTTGTATGTAATAACGAAAGAGCATCGTCACGCAGCTTTAGTCAGTGAAATCTATAGTTACTCGACAAGTGTTTGACAGCGTCAAATGTCCTGTCAGTTTTTTTTATTTCTGGCACTGTTTCTAATTATTTCAAAAATAGTGTTTATCACAGATTGCATCTAGAATATCCCAGAAACAATTATTTTCGCGGATCTGATTACATTTAGCTGTTTCTTTAATAAGATTGTTTTTAATAATATTGCTCTTCTTGCTTCTGTTCACAGAATGTAATTTAAAGACTAAGTAATAGTCCTTTTGAAATTAGCATAAACATAAAAGAATAGAAAAATACAAAACTCCCCAATTCACACAGCAGTCATAAAATATCTTGAAATATTTTATTAGAAACAGTTTGTGAATGACCTGGTTGTTTTTGTATGTGGGAAGTGAAATAAGCTGAATACTTCTAAATGTCCCCAGGCTCTTAAAGTTTTATGGCTTGTGAAAAGTCAAGAACGACGTCACATTAATAATGTGACATAAAACACATTAAAATTCAGAACATTTTTTGGCAAAACTCTTATAATAGTGCTGCATATAATTATATAATTAACATAGAATGTTAATTATATGGCTGAGTTTCAGAAATTATACTTTTAAAATACTTGAAAGCAGCAATAGGTGTGTTAAGGGAGTGTAAACTTGTTTAGGATGCGTTGACATTGCAAAATTGTCTTTGATAATTCTAATCATGGCAACACCCATGTTCATTGAGGTCAGCCGAACAGTATTTAAAGAGTAACAATCTCAAGAGATTCAGTATCAGAACCAGGAGAACGAACCTGCAGCATCCACTTGAAGCATCACAATGAAGATGATCTTTCCTCTTGCTCTTGTCTTGGCGCTCTTCAGCAAGTGTAAGAATAACAATTGCATATTTATTTATTGATTGATTAATTTCTTTATTTATTTATTCATTGTAGAAAATATTGGAAACAGATTTCACATGATTTTTTCCAACAAAAGTTAGTGACAATGAAAATAGGGCTGTCATTATTTTAATTTTCTAAGTTTTATTCAGTGTTCATAAATTCTGAATTGATAAATAAGAACTACTGCGTTTTTAAAATTAGAAAAAAATCCTTTGGCATTTCAAACTTGCAGAGCATTTAAACTAATCCTTCTGTTCTTCCTCCTGATTGCAGCTGGAGCCCTGACATGTAACACCTGCTCAGATCTGGCATGTTCAAAATCAAAATCAGTCAAATGTGGAACTGAGCCTATGTGTATAACAGCTACCATCCAGGGTATTGTTCTGCTTATGTCTCTATATACTTCATGATAACATATGCTGTAAGAAGTGAGGTTGCTATATTTTCTACTTTCACCAACAAACTGTTCTTTGACTCTACAGTAAATACATTTGGGACTACAGGAACGCAAATCATCAAACAATGTGCAGCGTCCTCTCTGTGTCCGGCTACAGGCACCTCGACTTTTTCAGTCAACTTGGGTTCTCAAAGTGCAATTGCAACTGCTGAGTGCTGCAGCACCAACAACTGCAACTCAAAGACACTGACTGGTAGGTGTAATCATGAGATAAAGGAAGAAAAATATCTGATTTTTCTTTAGTTCCTTAATATTTAATAAGTTTCTCTTCCTTTGTTAATTGTTGATTCAGCTCCCAACCCTCAACCCACTACATCCTTTCAGTGCAACGTTTGTGACCCCGCAACATCTCAGTGCACCACTCCAATAAATTGCACAGGAGATGAGACCAACTGCTTCTCTGCAACTTGTAAGATTTTATATTTAATAATATATAAATTATTAATCGTGGGTGTGATTTTGACGAAAGATGGAACGACACAACAGATGTATAAATGCCACAATTAAGAAAAAAGTACAATATGCCAAAAGAATGACAAATTAGTTATTAGATGGCTAATGTACTTTAATTGAAACAATGAATATATTTGTAATCTATTTTCTGGGTCAACAGTGAACGATGGAACAAGCACATTTCCTGCACTGGGTTGTGCATCACCAAAGACCTGTACAGCTGCTTCAGGTTTGGGAAGTTTGCCATTCATGCAGAGTGTTGGTTCAATCACCAGTGGACCGACATGCTGTACAACCGGTCTGTGCAATGTTCAACAACCAACCACGACAGCAGCACCAACCACCACAACTGCAGCACCAACACCACAACTGCAGCACCAACCACCATGACAGCAGCACCAACAACCACAACCGCAGTACCAACAACCGCAACCACAGCACAAACCACCACAACAGAAGCACCAACCACCACGACAGCAACACCAACAACCACAACTGCAGAACCAACCACCGAAGCTGCATCACCAACAAACAGAACAGCAGCACCAACCACTACAACTGCAGCACCAACCACCGAAACTGCAACACAAACAACCACAACAGCAGCACCAACAACCACAACAACAGCACCAACCAGCACGACGGCAGCACCAACCACTACAACAGCAACGCTACCAACCACAACTGCAGAACCAAACACCACAACTGCAGCTATGACAACCAAAACAGCAATACTAACCACTACAACAGCAACACCAACCAGGACAGCAGCACCAACCACCACAACTGCAGCACCAACTACCACAACCACAGCACCAACCACTACAACAGCAACACCAACAACCACAATCGCAGCACAAACCACCACAACTGCAGCACAAACAACCACAACTGCAGCACCAACAACCTCAACTGCAGCACCAACCACCAAGACAGCAGCACCAACAATTACAACATCGACACCAACAACCACAACCACAGCACCAAGCACCACGACAGCAGAACCAACCACAGCAACTGCAGCACCAACAACCACAACAGCAGAGCAAACAACCACAACTGCAGCACCAACCACCAAAACTGCAGCACAAACAACCACAACTGCAGAACAAACAACCTCAACAGCAGCACCAGCCACCACGACGGCAGCACCAACCACTACAACAGCAACACCAACCACTACAACAGCAACACCAACAAACACAACCGCAGCAGCAACCACCACAAGAGCATCACCAACAACCACAACTGCAGCACAAACAACCACAACTGCAGCACCAACAACCACAAAAGCAACACCAACCACCACAACCGCAGCACCAACCACCACAACTGCAGTAACAACAACCACAACTGCAGTAACAACAACCACAACTGCAGCACCAACACCCACAACAACAGCAACAACCACCACAACGTCAGCACCAACAACTACAACAGCAATACCAACCACCACAACTGCAGCACCAACAACCACAGCACCAACAACCACAACAGCAGGACCAACAACCACAATCGCAGCAACAACGGCCACGACAGGAGCACCAACAACCAGAACTACAGCACAAACAACCACGACAGCAGTACCAACAACAAAAATAGCAGCACCAACAACCACAACAGAAGCATCAACAACCACAGCACAAACAACCACAACTGCACCAACCACTACAACACCAACAACCACAACCGCAGCAGCAACCACCACGACCGAAGGACCAACCAGCACAACAGCATCACCAACAACCACAACTGCAGTACCAACAACAGCAACAACCACCACGACGTCAGCACCAACAACTACAACAGCAATACCAACCACCACAACCACTGCAACAACTACAACAGCAACACCAACCACCACAACCGCAGCACCAACCACCACAACTGCAGCACCAACCACTACAACAGCAACACCAACAACCACAACTGCAGCACCAACCACCACAACTGCAGCACCAACAACCACAACCGCAGCACCAACAACCATGACAGCAGGACCAACAACCATGACAGCAGCACCACCAACCACAACTGCAGAACCAACCACCACAACTGCAGCTCCAACAACCACAACATCAATACCAACCACTACAACACCAACAACAACAACTGCAGCACCAACAACCACAACCACAGCAACAACAACCATGACAGCAGCACCAGCCACCACAACTGCAGCAGCAACCACCACGACAGCATCACCAACAACCACAACAGTGCCAACAACCACAGCAGCTGCATCAACAAGCACAACCACAGCACAAACTACCACAATCGCAGCACCAACCACAACAGAAGCACCAGCAACCACAACTGCAGCACTAACCACCACAACAGTATCACCAACAACCATAACAGCAGCACCAACCCCCACGACAGCAGCACCAACAACCACAACAGTTGCACCAACAACCACAACAGCAGTGCCAACAACCACAATTACAGCACCAACATCCACAACCGCAGCACCAACCACCACAACAGCAGCAGAAACCACCACATCAGAGCCAACCACCACAGCAGTTGCACCAACCACCACAACTACAGCACAAACAACCACAACAGCAGCACCAACAACAAAAATAGCAGCACCAACAACCACAACAGAAGCATCAACAACCACAGCACAAACAACCACAATCACAGCACCAACCACCACAACTGCACCAACCACTACAACACCAACAACCACAACCGCAGCAGCAACCACCACGACCGAAGGACCAACCAGCACAACAGCATCACCAACAACCACAACTGCAGTACCAACAACAGCAACAACCACCACGACGTCAGCACCAACAACTACAACAGCAATACCAACCACCACAACCGCTGCACCAACAACTACAACAGCAACACCAACCACCACAACCGCAGCACCAACCACCACAACTGCAGCACCAACCACTACAACAGCAACACCAACAACCACAACTGCAGCACCAACCACCACAACTGCAGCACCAACAACCACAACCGCAGCACCAACAACCACGACAGCAGGACCAACAACCATGACAGCAGCACCACCAACCACAACTGCAGAACCAACCACCACAACTGCAGCTCCAACAACCACAACATCAATACCAACCACTACAAAACCAACAGCAACAACTGCAGCACCAACAACCACAACCACAGCAACAACAACCATGACAGCAGCACCAGCCACCACAACTGCAGTAGCAACCACCACGACAGCATCACCAACAACCACAACAGTGCCAACAACCACAGCAGCTGCATCAACAAGCACAACCACAGCACAAACTACCACAATCGCAGCACCAACCACCACGACAGCAGCACAAACAACCACAACTGCAGCACCAACAACCACAACTGCAGCACCAACCACAACAGAAGCACCAGCAACCACAACTGCAGCACTAACCACCACAACAGTAGCACCAACAACCACAACAGCAACGCCAACCACCACGACAGCAGCACCAACAACCACAACAGCTGCACCAACAACCACAACAGCAGTGCCAACAACCACAATTACAGCACCAACATCCACAACCGCAGCACCAACCACCACAACAGCAGCAGAAACCACCACATCAGAGCCAACCACCACAGCAGTAGCACCAACCACCACAACTACAGCACAAACAACCACAACAGCAGCACCAACAACAAAAATAGCAGCACCAACCACCACAACAGCAGCACCATCCTCCACAACAAAAGGGCCAACAACCATGACTGCAGGACCAACAACCCATACACCAGCGCCAACCACCACAATAGCAGCACAAACCACATCTGCAGCACCAACCACCACAACAACAGCATCAACCACAACAACTGGAGCAACAACCATCACAACTGCAGCACTCACCACCCCAACTGTAGTACCAATATCCACAACAGCTGCACCTACCACCACAATAACTTCAGGAACCACATCTGCAGCACTAACCACCACTAATGCTGCATCAGTCACTGCAGCACAAACCACATCCGCAGCACCAACCACAACCACAGCACCAACCACCACAATAACTCCAGCAACCACATCTGCAGCACCAACCACCGCTAATGCTGCATCAACCACTGCAGCACAATCCACAACCACAGCTCAAAATAACACAACAGAAGGGCTATCCACCACAACAGTTGCACCAACAATCAATACATCAACACCAACCACAACAACAACAGCAGCACCAACAACCACAACTGCAGCACCAACAATAAATACAGCATCACCAACCACAACCACAACTTCAGCAAAAACCATAACTGCTGCATCAATCACTACAACACTAGCCCCATCAGCCACAACCACAGCACCAACATCAACTGCACCCACCACCACAACAGCAGCACCAACCACTACACCTACATCACCATCCACCACAACAGCCACACCAACTACCACAAGGGCAGCACTAACATCCACATCTGCAGCACCAACATCATTTACGGCATCACCAACCACCACAACTACAACCACAACCACAGGACCAACAACAACTGCATCAACCACCACAATCACAGCACCAACCAGCATGACTGCAGCACTAACAACCACCAAAGCAGCACCAACCACTGCCACTTCCACGACAGCCACAACACCTGCACCTCCCACCACAACTGCAACAACTACAACCACAGCAACAACTACAACAATAGCAGTACCAACAATGACAACTGCAGCAACAACAACTGCAGGACCTACAACCACAACTGCAGTACAAATCACAACAGCAGCTCCAATCACAACAATCGCAGTACCAACCATCACAGCAGGAGCACCAACAACCACAACAGGAGCACCATCAACCACAACCTCCACACCAACCCCCATAATTGCAGCAACAACCACAACAGCAGCTCCAACTATCAGTGAAACACCAACCATCACAACTGCAGCACCAACCACCACCACTAGATCACCAACCACAACTTCTGCACCAACTACCACAAGTAGACTACCAACAACCACAACCGCGTCACCAACATCCAGAACTACAGCAGCAACAACCACAACCGCAACACTAACAACCTCTACTATGGGACCAATAACTACTACTGCAGCAGCAACAATCACCACAATAACAACCACAGTTGCTGCAACAACTACCACAACCTCAGCACAAACAACCACAACTGCATCACCAACAACCAAAACTGCAGCAGCAACAACCACAACTGCAGTACAAACCACAACATCCACAGCAACCTCGAAAGGACAGCCAGACACAGGTGCAGCAACAAGTGCATCAACAACAACCTCAACCACACCAACAACAACAGCTACATCCACACTATCAGCAACACAACCAGCAACAGGTGCAGGAACAGGTGCCACAACAACAACCTCTACCACAATGACAACTGCAGTAGCTGCCACAACATCTTCAGCAGCACAGTCAGCCACCACTACATCAACCACCAGTAGTGCTTCTAGTATCAGAATGGGCATAATTCATGTCATGATTTTACTGTTTGTTGTCATTGTTTAAAAAAAACTCATGAATCATAAGCATCACATCAATGGTAAATTTAAGAGATTGTCATTGTCTCTATCTGGAAATTGAGATTCAAGAAACAATTATTCTTGGATTCTTTTTGTTGTCAACCATTAAACATTATTTAAATATAAATTAAAATATATCTATTTATTAATTGTTTTGTCTGTATTTGCTGCTAAGTAATTTTAGTGGCAGCTGTGCCTTATTTAAATACATGCTTATGTCACTGTTTGATTTTTTTATTTAAACATGCTAAAGATTCCGAGTGATAAATTTCTGCTTACAAAATATCCAATTTGTGTTTACTCTTAAAAATAAATCTGCTTAAAAAAGCTTTTCGTCAATATTTATTGTAAACCTTGTTCTCAAATGTATTTATCAACATGAAACAACTCATCCAATCAATTTGTGTTGTATGAGGGTTTTACACAGACCAGCCAGAGGTGCTGAATGGATTCCAAAAATGTTCTTAATTTATTAAAAAAAACATTCCAAAATAATTCTAAAATGATCAACTGGGCCCAAAACTGAGGTCAACATAACAAACTGCAAGTCAGTTAGTAACAGAAAGAACTCAAATACAAAACTGATGTAAAACAAGACATGAGGGGAGCTTAAATATTGGCTGATGAGACTACTGCTGATACACAAGGGTAATTAAATATACAAGAACTTAAACAAATACTGGTCAACACAATCCTAAACTTTTAAATTAAATAAATACTAGCATAACTCAACTAACTGCCAAAAAAAGGAAACATTGAAGAATTAGTCAAATTAAACAAAAGAAAACCAAATTTTCCCTTCCCCTGGCAAACAAATGGAATGTTCTGCTGTGTAGGTTTGCCAGCCATGAAAGGACAGCTGGAGTTAATTTGTTGCGTTTAAAAAATATATAAATATCTGACAGATAAAGTTAACTAAATGTGTGCACTGCAAATAGTTTACTAAAGAGTCAGGCTACTGAAAATAAGTTTAAAAATGAAAATCTAAACTATTCACTAATCAATATGTAAACTGATGTTAAGGATGAACAGAAAACAATTACCATTCATTTACATCTCTATGTGACAGTAGAGAGAGCTGTCGCAGTTGTGACCCCTTGCTGGGTAAACTGTCCTGAATGAACCAAACTGGAAATGTACCCAAGTTATGTAAGCAATAACTTTGGTAATAATCACCTTTGGTAATAATGTGTAACAATACTCTTAATGCATTTATCTCATGATTCAGAAGGTTAGTCTCCAAGTTGGTCAGACAGTGCATTTTTTTCTTAAATAGCATTTTTATGTTTATTTAGTATATATAAATCCATAGCTTTCAGATGTTAATAGTTTCATAAAGTCTACTGGCCTCTTAAGGTGACCGGATCAGATCTCTTCTGGTATTCTATTGGAAAATTCCAGTATAATGGTCTTCTATTGAAATTTTATGTCTTTTATAAACATCGAATTTCTTCTACTGACTTGTACTGTTTATGGGATGGGACCAACAATTGTTTGGGAGCTTTCATGGTGCTCCCATACTGTTTTTCATGTGTTGTTATTCAAAGCTTGTTATTCAAAGCTTGTCTTAGACATTGCGAATATTGTAAATGTTGGTGAGGATTTTTTGCAATTTTGTATTTTCCTAACACCTCTGCAGATCACACACATCCTGGACACATCCTACAAATATTCCCACAAAAAAAACACAAAAAAAATAAATAAATGAAAAATCATTCATCTGGAAAACAACAAACTGCTTCTGTGACACAAGGACAGGAACTGTGGTGTATTGCATCACAGCTGAGAATTCATTTCATGTTATTTTTAAGCCTAGTTTTTACTTTGTTCAATCCATGTTAGTGATGTTTGGGTGAAGATCAATGTAGGTACCATGGTCCTTGGAGATCTTGGGTGGAGTAATGAACATTTTGTTCCATTAGTTTTTAAGGGGCCACTGCACTTTATTAAAGCAACATCTGAAAGTTTTTATTAGTAATTTGAGAACACTCAAAACAGATCAATGTTTATGAAGAAACAAAGACAGTTTGTAAGCGTCTTGCAATATCAAGAGGACAGTTAATCTAACAGTCTTTTTACACATCATTACGAAGAGCACCAAAGGGCAACCTTGAAGGGAAGATTACAAAGCTTAGATAAAATACCTCTGGCTTTGGTGTATTCAGAACAGTATGCCCCAACAAAAGGTCACACTTAAAATAATGATTTGGATAAGGTGTTTGTTAGTCATGATCACATTTGAAAACATGCTTAACAATGAAATTGACAAAATCATTTTTTAAGTAGATTTATTTTGATTTGTTGTAAACAAGAACTTACAGCTCAGAATATTAAGCATGTTTAAATGAAAGTATAAACATTTTTGTCAAGCAATTTCAAAAAAAATTAAAAAAGCTGCCTCATATCACTGTCTTAGCAGCAAATACAGACAACAAAATAGAAAATATTTAGTTTATCATATTTGATTAATATTGTATGATTGACAACAAATAGATAACATAAATATAATGTCAAAAATTATATAAAAAGCGAAAACATAATTTGAAATGCCAAAGGACTTTTTTCTAATTTACACATTAGCCATTCAAACAAACAAACAAACAAACAAAAAAGCATCTTAACAAACAATTCATGTTTTAAGTTTTTTCATGTTTCAGGAAAAAGTGAATTATTTCAATAAAAAATTATTATTGTAGTTTTCACATAATATTAGACATTAAATATTAGACCAGGATAAAAACACAATTCTGCATTTCTTCTTCAAATGTTCTACTTTTATTGAGCCAATGTTCCCTAAAACAACAACAACAAAACCAAAAACATCTTAATAATTGATCTACCTAAAATTTTATGTCAATGTCAGGATTCCAGCAGCAACCAGTTGGGAAGAGTTTATTTAATGATATTAAAATGTTTATAACAGTTAGAAATAGACAGCTAATCTTAAAAAAAAAACAAAAAAAAAAAAAACAGCAATAACAAATGTTTTAAAACTTGCAATTTTTAAGAGAAATGCTTAAAAAGGAAGACATTAAGTTTTGTTTTTTTTTACCATAACTGCACATGGTAAATATTCAATATGTCAAGTCCCTCAATTTTTCAGGGAGACAAATAGAAACATTTCATTGAATATTTCTGGAAACACAAGAGCAAAAGTAACAAGTTTTCATGTTACTCTAAAATGTTTGTTTCATGTGGGTAACAGAATAATCGTTAAAAGGCCTTAAAAAATATTAAAAGGACTTATTATGATCAGGTAATCTTTGGTGAGTATACATTTTTAACAAAGTTTGAGAGAAAAAAAATGTCTCATCAAATTAGATACTTTGATGAAATTATATCATTGTTTTTAATTGGGATAAGAATCAGCAGTGATCACAGAAACAGTTGAACTTGCAGACGGTCATTTCAAACCACACATCACACCCTCACGTACTTTACATTTTATAGTAAATATGATTAGTAGGTCTTTCAAAACTTTACATGTCTGGATTCATCAATTCAGCAGTGCATAAACAAAAAAATGACCACAGTGTTTTTACTGCTACTTAAACATGATTAATAATCACAGATGCTTAATAAGTTATGTAACATTTAATTCCAGTACTTTCTTTTAAAATAAAGAAGATAAACATTAAATAACTATTGTTACCCTTCCTGCGGAGCACCAAGATGAGAGTCAGAGAAAAGACCAGCTTCATTGTGATCTTCAAGTGCCGATCAGCTTTAAACACCGAGATCAGATACAGACACAGAAATGACAAGAGAGTTAGATTGTTTTTTACTCGCGAGGAGAACGGAAGGGATGTGTTTCAGTTACAATCTACTTCAGCTCTGAAACACACCCTGTCAAACCATCTCTTTATTTGTTTCGGGGCATTTCCTAGTTACATACATGTAGCTCTAAGAAATAGAAATAGATCACACAACTGCAACGTGATTCAGAATTACACAGCATATCTTCTGAAACACATGTCCATGTACAATAAAGCAAAAACAAGTTATATAACACTGGAACTTCTTGCTGAGCAGATATCTGTTGAAAAGGGCTGCAACTCAAAACATCCCTGTCGACTGCTCCCTTCAGTGAGGCTTCCTTAAAACACACTCAGAAACATAGTTAAAGCAATTCAGAATAAATAATATTTGAACAAAGTGCAGATCAGGTCAGCCGGTTCTGATAGTAAATCTCTGGAGTTTCCACTCTTTAAATACTGCTCAGATAATCTAATGTTTACAGCGTCTATGATCAAAAATAAAGTCTGTCTATGTTTTGTTACCAGACCTGTTGTGGCATTCCAGTGTTCAAAAATAATCTTTTTTTTTTCAAAGAAAGAAATGCACAATGTAAATTACACAAGTAAAAATATCAATAATAAAATATTATTAAAGATATGGCTCAGTGTATTCAGATCAACAACAATAATTGTTTTTGAGTAGTGCGCTCAATGTGTGATAAACATTATATAATTAACACTCTGACTTGACATTGTGACATATGGCTCTATTAGAGAAATGTTGCCAAAAATCTTAGGAAATTTTTTGTCTTTGCTGCTGATGTGACATCTTTCTTGATTTTTCATAATCCATAAAACTAGTAAATAGGTTCTTTAAATTATATGATATATTTCATTTCACACAAAAACAATCATGTAATTAACATGATATTCATAATAAAATATTTCAAGATATTTTATGACTGCTATGTGTCTTCAGGAATTTTATATTTTTCTTTTTCATTTAAAAAAGAAGAGAATCTGAAAAACTTTGATATTTAGTCTGTACATTACATTGTGCATTAACATGAGTAAGAATATTAATAATAAAATATTAGTAAAGATATATTCAGATTAACAACAACAATTGTTTCTGAGTAGTGCATTCAATGTGTGATAAACATTATCTTTTGAAAAAATTACAAGCACTGCCAAGGGGAAAAAACAGTGACGGAACACAGTGTTCCGTCACGTAGTTGACTACTTATCACGTAGTTAACTACGTGATAAGTGAGGATTTCATTGACGAAAGCTGCTTGATGACACTCTTCAGTTATTAAAGTCATAAACTTTCAGATTTAGAAAGATGTCAGGAAACAGCAACACAATTCAACAATGGTTTCTATTTTTTGCTTTTCAAAGTCTGAAGTAAAATCATTACCTTCCTCATCACAAAGCCTGCAGACACTCCCACTTCTGTACTATAGAAACTCTAAAAGGGAAACACCCTACACTTTAAAATTAGAACTGATAGTTAACATTACAAACTACATAAGAATCTCCAGATGTCATCCTGTCACAAATCATCTTCATTTTTGCTTTAGGGTTCTACATTTAAAACATTAAATGCTTGTATGTGTCCCAGCTGAACACATTATGCATATCAAAACGTGCCACTGTGATGAAAGCTAATTTCTAAACAAGCCAAGAATTAAATTGAATATGTATCTACTCACTGATTAATTCAGCAATAGCAAAGTAATGAATCAAAAACAAAAATGAACTTGTCTTCAAAGGGAGGATTTTTTTTTTCACTGCTGATTGAAGCTTAAAATCTGTGAAGAATTTTTCAGTTTCTTAGAAGCCAAATGTTTTAAGTTGCAATAGTAAATCTTAATTTGAAGGGAGTATAGGGTTTTCCAAACTATGTGTGAATATGAAGTCAGATATAATTTACAATGATGTCATACAATATAGCAATTAATCAATACATATATATATATATATATTTTTTTAATTGATATAAAAACAGATAATAAACTAAGAGGTCATTTTTAAATTTGTACATTTTTGATAATCTATCAAACACAATTGAACTAATGGTACACTGACTCTGAGTCACTCCAAAATTTCATTTAGCTATTTTTTCTTATTGAGAGGTGGCCTTGCCACTGAGCTTTGGATCATTGCTCTGCTGCTGAATGACATGGTTGTCTGACTGGTTTCTAATCACACCCTGAGGAAAAGAAACAAAGGCAGATTGACACATGAACAATACACATTCATTTTAGAAAGACAGTTCTGTGACTTCTGTTTTAGAGTATGAAAATAATTAGTTTTACTAAGTCAAGTTTATTTGTATAGCACATTTCAGAAATTCAATTCAGTTTATTTTTATATCGCTAATTCCCAACAAAAGTGTCTTGAGGCCCTTTACAAAGAAAATAAATGTAATTTACTGAGACATGCATCCCAACTGTTGCCAATTATCAAACAGTACAATAATATCAGTTAATTAAATGTTTCTATGTTAGAAAACCATTGAGCAACTGACCAACAGCAACAGCAGGAAGTCAACTGGATGCAGAACCAGAACCAGAAGACCTCAGAGGTCTGGAAGATTGATACAACAGCAAGTCTTTAATGTATTTGGGTGCTAAGTGATTTATAAACTAATAAAAGCATTTTAAATTCTATTCTCTGTATTACGGGGAGCCACTATAGAGATCTGATTAGCGCGGTTTGCATTAATGATGGGTCATGTTCAAATGAACTGGCTCTAAGAACCAACTTAAACTAAATTATGATGCAATGGATGATAATAAATTAAGAGTCCTTTGGTAGCCAGTGGACTTCCTTGCTGAAACTCTGAAGCTCGCAGTGACATGGTGTGCTCCCTTCTTTGTTTCTTCCTTCCTGCTCTTGTTGCTCTTTGGTTCATGTTCTTAGATAAGTGTTGTTTACTGTTAGAGCGTCGGCTTGATTGTCGGTAGAAGAGGATTGTTGTTGTGTGTGCATGGTTGTTTGTCCTGTTTGTTTCTGTGTTGCCCTGTGACAGACTGGCGACCTGTCCAGGGTCACCCTGCCTCCCGCCCGGAACGCAACTGGAAAAATGCACCAGTAACTGCCGACCATTCTTGGGACAAGGGTGAACAGACAATGGATTGATGGATGGATATACAAAACATTTACTGTAAGAAAATACTGTGGTTACTTAATATGGATAATTCAACTTATTTTTTGGAAACCTTAAACACAAAAATTGTTTTAAAGAAACTATAAGATGGCCTGTTCTTAGAAAAATATTCATGTTCAGAACTGGATCATTTGTTTGGCTCTTTGAAGTGAATGAATCCTGAAAGTCTGGTTCCTTTCCAGAGCCAAAAGTCCCATTGTTAATAGTTTTCATTTAAATTAATCCATTAAAAGTCATTTTAGGGTATTATGTTATGTAGTTTGCAATATTAACAACAATTTGCACCATAGAAACACCTTTTGGTGTTTCTATGGTGCAAAGTGGGTGGTGTCACCAGGCTTTGTGATAGATGGTGATGACTCAAGACTCAAGAGGTGCAAAAAAGACAAACTATTGTTGAATTTTGCTGCTGCTTCCTGACTACTTTAAATTTCCAAAAAGTCTTTGTATGTAATTATTGAAGAGTATCGTCAAGCAGCTTTAAATTCAAAGAAATTCCTAGTCATTTGTCACATAATTGGTTTCGTTGTGTTTCGTTGTTGTTGTTTTTTTTCTGCAGTTCATGTAATTGTTCTAAATATAATATTTATTACAGATCTGAACTAGGATATCCCATAAACAACTATTATTGCTGATAAGATCACATTTTGATGTCTCTTTTAATAACACTAAGTTTATTTATTGTTGCTCTTGCTGCTCCTATTCATAGAATTTCCAAATTAAAGAATAATGTTTTTCAGATTTATTTCCTTTTGCAGTTGGCACAGATTGAAAAGAATAAAATGAAATTCATCAAGGTACAGAACAATAATAAAAGATCTTTAAACAATTTATTACAAACAAGATGTTAATAACCTCTTTGTTTTTGTTTGTGAGAAGTGAAATATGCTAAATAGGTTCGGCTGTTAACTAGTTTTATGGATTATGGAAAATCAATGACGTCACATCAGCAACAAAGACACAAAAGTTAAGAACTTTTTTTGGCAACATTTCTTTGATAATGCTGCATGTCAGAATGTTAATTATATGTCTGGAGAAGTGACTTTTCACACACAGGAATGCAGGATTACATGTGTTAAAAGAGTGTTGACTTGTTAAAGATGCTGTGACATTATAGCATTGTTTTTGACCAGTGTCAATATGGAAGCACGCCTTTTCATTGAGGTCATCTGGACAGTATTTAAAGAGTAACAATCTCAAGAGATTCACTATCAGAACCAAGAGAACGAACCTGCTGGATCCACCTGATTATCACAATGAATATGATCTTTTCTCTGACTCTCATCTTGATGCTGTTTAGCAATGGTAAGAATAGTACTTACATATATGTTTTCATTCTATTATAGTTGGAGTATACTTTAAGGGGGAAAAAAAAATTTTTTTCTCAAAGTATATAAATATTTCTCTCTCCAATTTGGTGAAGCATTCTCCTCTGTCAGAAAACTGTGTTCAGACAGATTATTACATGATCATTTAGTTACTTTTAGGCACATTCCTCTTTGGTGGAATGTGTTGGAGTTTGTCATGTTCTGTTAAAAGTTAATTATTTTAATCTTTCTGAAAAATGAAGGAACCTTAAATATGGGGCATTTACCACAGGTAGCCAGAGAGAAAAAATATTTATTCTTTATTCTTCCTTGTCAAGATTTCCCTTGAGATTTAAACGCTCGTTGTGGTTTGGCCGAGCTCATTTTTAAAGAAAAGCTGTTGGTTTCTAACTTTGGTAAATATTTTAAAAATTATTATTGAAATAAGTCTTTTCAGCTGTTTGGTGTTGGAGTACTGATCTATAAAAATCATATTAAAGAAGTTTTTTTTTAATGAAGATAATGTTTTTTGTTTTGTTTTTTTCTGCAGTAGAATATGAAGAATACATAATTGATTTAAAATATTATATCTTAAAATGTGTAATATGTGAATGTATAATACTGACCATGTGTAAATTAGAAAAAAAATCCTTTGGCATTTCAAACTTGCAGAGCATTTAAACTAATCCTTCTGTTCTCCCTCCTGATTGCAGCTGGAGCCCTGACATGTAACACCTGCTCAGATCTGGCATGTTCAACCTCAAAATCAGTCAAATGTGGAACTGAGCCTATGTGTATAACAGCTACTATCCAGGGTATTGTTCTGCTTATGTCTCTTCATAGTTCATGATAAATTATGTTGTAAGAAGTGAGGTTGCTGTATTTTCTACTTTCACCAACAAACTGTTCTTTGACTCTACAGTAAATACATTTGGGACTAGAGAAACACAAATCATCAAACAATGTGCAGCGTCCTCTCTGTGTCCGGCTACAGGCACCTCGACTTTTTCAGTCAACTTGGGTTCTCAAAGTGCAATTGCAACTGCTGAGTGCTGCAGCACCAACAACTGCAACTCAAAGACACTGACTGGTAGGTGTAATCATGAGATAAAGGAAGAAAAAATATCAGATTTTTCTTTAGTTCCTTAATATTTAATAAGTTTCTCTTCCTTTGTTAATTGTTGATTCAGCTCCCAACCCTCAACCCACTACATCCTTTCAGTGCAACGTTTGTGACCCCGCAACATCTCAGTGCACCACTCCAATAAATTGCACAGGAGATGAGACCAACTGCTTCTCTGCAACTTGTAAGATTTTATATTTAATAATGAATAAGTTATTAATCATGGGTGTGATTTTGATAAAAGAAGTGGCATTGTATTAATGCCACATTTTAGAAAAATGTACAATATAGTTATTAGATGTCGAGCGTACTTTGATTGAAACAACGAATATGATTGTAATCTATTTTCTGGGTCAACAGTGAACAATGGAACAAGCACATTTCCTGCACTGGGTTGTGCATCACCAAATACCTGTACAGCTGCTTCAGGATTGGGAAGTTTGCCATTCATGCAAAGTGTTGGTTCAATCACCAGTGGACCAACATGCTGTACAACCGGTCTGTGCAATGTTCAACAACCAACCACAACAGCAGCACCAACCACCACAACCACAGCACCAACCACTACAACAGCAGCACCAACAACCACAATCGAAGCACAAACCACCACAACAACAGCACCAACAACCACAACCGCAGTACCAATCACCACGACAGCACCAACAACCACCACTGCAGCACCAACAACCACAGCACCAACCACCACAACAGCAGCACCAACAACCACAACTGCAGCACCAACCACCACAACAGCAGCGCCAACAACCACAACAGCAGCACCAACAACCACAACCGCAGCACCAACAACCACAACTGCAGCACCAACCACCACAACAGCAGCGCCAACAACCACAACCGCAGCACCAACAACCACAACTGCAGCACCAACCACCACAACAGCAGCACCAACAACCGCAACCGCAGTACCAACAACCACAACCGCAGCACAAACCACCACAACAGAAGCACCAACCACCACGACAGCAGCACCAACAACCACAACTGCAGCACCAACCACCACTACAGCAGCGCCAACAACCACAACAGCAGCACCAACCACCACGACACAAGCACCAACAACCACAACTGCAGCAACCACAACAACAGCAGCACCAACAACCACAACCGCAGCACCAACAACCACAACAGCAGCACCAACAACCACAACTGCAGTACCAATAACCACAACTGCAGCACAAACCACCACAACAGAAGCACCAACCACCACGGCAGCAGCACCAACAACCACAACTGCAGCACCAACCACAACAGCAGCGCCAACAACCACAACAGCAGCACCAATAACTACAACTGCAGCACCATCCACCACAACCACAGCAACAACCACAACAACTGCAGCTCCAACCACAACAGCTACACCAGCACAGTCTGTCCCCACGACATCAATCACCAGTAGTGCTTCTGTTATCAGAATGGGAGTTCTTCATGTCTTACTTTTACTTTCTATTGTAATTCTATAAAAATCACAAAAATTCAACAGATTCTCAAAGTCTCTCTCAATTAGAGAATTAGGTTTCTGACAATCAAACAGATTAATTCACAAAAGTTCAATTAATCACCATAAGTAAATTATTATATCTTAATACTAGATTCAATATTTTAGCTTCTTGTTTAATATTTTGGTGGCATTATTTATTGATTATCTATTTTTTGTTGTTCATTTAAAATTATTCAAATCGAAATGTTTTGTAACCGTTTAGCATTGAAATCTATTATTTTATTTAGACATGCCTAAGACTATGATCTGTGAATTATAATAATTCTAAAAAGAAATGTTGTCCATGTTTATTGTAAACTATGTTATAAACTGAGATCATCACTAAGAAACACCTGATGTGACCTTTGGGAGGAGGACACTGTTCTGAATGGACCAAACCATCGGTCATTTGCCAAAGCTGTGTCAGATTCCCTTTACTGCTATTGCAAAAAACTATACATGATTTTCTGGAGCTACTACTTTATGAAAGTACACTCTCCCCTTAAAGAAGACTTCTGTTCTTCACTTAGTGTTACTTGTCTTAGACATTGCAAATAGTTTTGATTTTAGTGAATCCTCACTAAAATCTTGCAGTTCAGTGTTGTCATCACATGTAGACCACACACATCCGGGTCACAAACTGTCAGGTTCACAAAAATTCTTTTAAGACAAAATAAATATCAAAATCATATGAGTTTGGTGGTTGTTTTATATTTTTTTGTGAGAATCAAGTCAAAGATACAAAAAACAAAGAAATATTCGTTATTGTATTGTTTTTAATCTGACATGAAAACTATAAGAAACTAACTTGTCAACAATTTTATTATTGCAGAGCAGACTAGAAGCAGAATACTTGAGAAGTCTGAAAGATTGATACAAAGACAACAAATCTTTAATGTATTTTGATGTTGAGCAATTCAATGACATATAAACTAACGGAAGTACTAAACAAATCGCAACCCAAGACCTTTTGCACATTTTTGCACTTTTATAACAAACAAATTATATCTCATATTTTTAACAAAGATGGAGAACATCATGTTTTCATAATGTTTGCAAATAAATATTATGAGGTGTGTGTATAATTTACGCTCACAAACGCAAGAATCCAAAGAGACTTTGCTTTTATTTAAAATGATCCATACAGGGTTTAGTGCCAAATGCACAGTATTTTAACAATGTTCAGAAAATGTTTTTATCCTTTGAAAATTAAGCCTAGGCGAAAATTCAAGCTGGGAGATGGAACACAGCTGATCCTCATCATCCTCCACGCCCCAGCCGCTGCTAATCAGGTCTGGCGCACTGCAGCGCTCCAGCCAATCACCGTCCACGAATCCCTTCGGTCTTCCCGCTTGTCAGCCGTGCTTCGACCTGCCACATCTCCATCTCCTCTATAACTCCCTCCGGGTAGAAAACGAAGCAAGGCGTTCAGGGTTGTTACTGGCATTTAATAATTGTGCCGTGAGAACTGTACAAAACACAAAATACATTTTTACAGAAAACATTCACATAGAGAAGAGACAATTATTACGCACAAATTAAAACACAAAATGCGTATCTCATTGGCCGCTTCAACCTGAAAGGGTTAATACAGAAACTCTGTGTAGCTACACGAGCCTTAATGCCTCACCGAACCTTTCCATTTACTAAGACAAAAAACATGCTGCCCTCTACAGAGTGCTGTGTGTAACTAAAAATATGTGCCTAAACGAAACATTAAACATTGGTTCCACTCCAAAAATATTTCCACAACTTATAATGAATATAAATATTTTACCTCACTTTAACTTATCTATACCAACTTAAAATTATAAAATTAACTCAAAACTGTATAGACTGCTGCTGATGGCAGCAACATCCTCCTTCGTCCCGGCAGACACCTTCCAGGTTCTCTCTGCATTCCTTTACCTCAAGACTCGCTCCATCACCAGGATTCGAAAGGGGGGGAGAAGACTGCCTGAGCTTCGCCGAGCCGACCACCTGCCCTTGGTGATCCTCAGCTCAGTTGTCTTCTATTGGGTTTGAGCGCCTAAGAACTTTGTACCATTAAATCCTCTAATGTGTGAGTCTATCCAGATAGAATTACTCTTTCCAGTGCAGAGAGCAACTCTAAACTGTTTTAGTTAAAGAAAATGCCTAAAGTCTTTCAGGCTCTCCACTAAAAAATGTTTCATTTGTATAATGGGGTACAGCTTTCCCCAATTTCTTATCTGAACAGATAATCATTCCCTCATGATGTCTCTCTGAAGTTCAGCAGAGTTCAGAGGCTTACATAAAAGCACCAAGAAAGGTTTGCCCAGCTCCCTTTGAAACAGACAAATCAATGTTAGATGATTCAGGTGTTTTGTTTTGTTGTTGTTGCTTCACTTCCCGTATCACATAAAGCTGCAAAAGAGTAATTTTTTTTTCTTCATACACCTTGAATTTATGTCCAGCACGTTCTAACATTCTTTTCATTGACTTTCTAAGCCCGTAACCTAGGGCTTATAACCTTAGGTTATGTTTTTGTTTTCTATTTAGGTTAAAGCCAGATATTGAAATTTTAAGTTTCAATTGACTGTAAAAAAAAAAAAAAAAAAAAAAAACCTTTGAAGTCAAGTTCGTCTTTCTTTTTGATTGATCACTTTATGTTTCTACTGATTTATTAAACAGAGAAGATTAATAATAAGTTGAATCTATGTATATAAATTTGCTTTGGCACTTTTTCATATGGGTATTGTGGGCAGTTGCCCATACAAACAGTAGAATTAATGGAGTCAAGTTGCAGTTACAAAAAAACAACCTGTGTTCTTTCCAGAATGGATTTTTCATACCTTGTTGCATCAATGTAGAGTCTTTGTCCCATGTTGGCCGCTGAGCTACAAGAAACAAACTTACCTTCTTTATGTTGTGCTCAAAGGGAAGCACAACATAAATGCCAGTGTAAGTGAAATGTATGTTTAGTAAAGTTGCGTGAAGTGCAATAACAAACTACACATCAGAGGCATTTAAGGTTAAACTCCTTGACGTTTCCATGTAACAGAAGTAGGAGTGTCTATGATGAAGGGCGGTGGCTTGATTAAAGACTTTGTGATTGAAAAACAGAAGCCATTGTTGAGCTTTGTTTGTACTTTCTTATTGTTATGTATTTCCAATAAGTTTCAGTATTTAGCAATTAAAAAGTGCTTAATCTGTTAAAAAACAAAAAATATGCTTTGGTGCAGCAGATAATACTTCTTGAGAATCAGTTCTGTCAGTATTAGAAATAATCCTGTTCTGAACTTTCTTGAGTGCAAGTCAAGTAAAACATCAGTGCTGATGATCAAGGAAGAATAATATCTTAATGCATTTTTTTGTCCTTTTTTTGAAGATTGGTCTTTGAATATATCACATTATATGCATTGTTATAAAAACAATTCTTTTGCTTAGACAGTTGCTGCTGTGATCATTCAGGGTAATAACTGTCAGGCCTACTGGTGAAGAAAAGATTTCACAACAAAACAAAGTTTTTCAGGGATAGTTAGCATGTTGCCATGTTAAAGTTTGGTTATGTTAAGTGCTGCAGACTGTGATTATCTTAAACTATTACCATCATTTAGTGAGTTTTGTGCGATTTTAGAACTGTTATTTTTAACATTGGATATTATGTTTGTAATCCTTCAGCCTGATTTTTAACAGTCTGAACATTCAAATATTATATTATATTACATATGAATTACTGTTTTTTCTACATACAATTTATAGATACATAATGCTTATGTAAGAAGTTGTCATGTACATACCAAACACCAGAGAGCATCAGTCAGCTTCAACAGGGAAGGAGAGTCAAACAGCTTTTGTCACTTCAATTCTCTGTGACACATGTGAATTGGCTGAGTCATATGTCCTCTCACTGTTTTTATTTACTTGCAGCGCTTGTTGTCATTGTTTGAAAAATTGTTTCTCAGAGTTTTCAACTTCTTTAGCAAAAGTAATATTATTGCTGAAGTTTTTTTTTTTTTAGGTTTTCTTTCTTTTGAAGTTGGCACAGACTGAAAATAAAAGAATTAAATTTGCAAAGGAACACAGCAATTGTAAAATATCTTGAAAAGTTTTGTTAAAAAGATGCTCATAATCAATTTGTTTTAGGTCATGGGAACGAAATTATGTTGAATACTTTCATTTAAAAAAAAAAACAAAACAAAAAAAACTCTGTTTTCCAGTCATGGAGTGTGAAAAATTAAGAAAAGTGTCACATCAACACAGAAGCGCAGAACTTTCTTTTACCTTAATGCTGTGATGTTATTAACATGATGGGTTTAAAGAAATTATTCTTTTCAGAAACTGGCATGCAGAAATAGGTGTGGTGAGGACGTATTGACGCTGTGACATTTGGACATTGCTTTTGATAATTGACGTTGAGAACTTGGGAACACCTGTCCATTGATGTCATCCAAGCAGTATTTAAAGAGATGTGAGTTTCAAAGATTCAGTATCAGAACCAGGACTATCCTGCAGGATCCACCTTAACATCACAATGAAGCTGATCTTTTCTCTGACTCTCATCTGGGCTTTCAACAGCAAGGGTAAGAATAATTACTACTTTTTTTTTCATTCTTGTATAAAATACTGGAAATAAACTATATGTTACCTTTTTCCAACAGGTGTAACTGTTTATCATGTTGTTTAGCAGACAGTTGAAGCACAGTGTGAAATTTTAAGTAATAATATTATTTTTGTAAGTTTTATTAAGTGTTTATGATTTCAGAATTTATGCATCTGAACAAGTATATTTTCATTGGACGCATTAGTCACTTTTATATAAAACAAGATGCAAGTCAGGCTTGTGTTGCGGCACTGATCCCTTTTCAAAACAATGTTAGTATTTCCTCAAAGGACATAAGCCTTTCTCTTTGACATGTTAAAATAAATAAAATCCAACAGAATATGTTAACACATACATTATTTCATGATTGGTCTGTTTCTGAATTTTTTTTTGTTCTAGGAATATTACAACAAAAAGATTTTTTGACTCTATGAAAAATAAGGAACTGAAAATATTGGATATTTGCCATTCATGCTTAAATAGAAGACAAACATAGTGTCTTCTATTTAAGCATTTCCCATGAAATTTAACATTTTCAAAACACTAGCCTTTGTTTGTTTGTTTTTTTTTTTTTTTTTTTTTTTTTTTAAGCTGTTTCTTTCTGACTGTACAAAATATTTTAAGTAATCATTTTTAATTAACTTCTTTTCACCTTTTTGCTGATGCAGCTCTGACCTTAAATTACAATTTTTGGCACTATGATATTTAAGAAGTTTGATTTTTGCTTAGCTTTCAGGAGCACTAGTGTAATAAAAATAAAACCTTTAAGAAACTTGAACCATGAATTAATTGTTAAAGTTGATTTATCATGCTTTTAACTCCTTCCTTTTGTGAATAATTCTCTTTTGGACTAGATACATACGAACTGCAGTCCTCATATTTGTAGCTCCACAGTTTTCTCGTTTATCACTGTAGTGTTTTAGAGCAACTTATGTTTGTGTGGCATTTTTTAATATCAATGAGAAATTTAACATTATGCCCTCCTCTGGGTCACTCCATTCTACAATTTTTGTAGTTTGATAGCAGGAATACAAATAGAAAGATACTTTTCATCAGAAAAGTTCATTAAGGATGTAAGTAATCTTTCCATATGTGAATTAGAAAAAATCTGCTTAGGCATTTCAAATTTGTGGAACGTTTAAATAAGTTATTTTCTACTTCCGCATGATTGCAGCTGGAGCCCTGACATGTATGACCTGCACAGACCAGATGTGTACAAGCACAGTACCACTAACATGTGGCTCAGAGACCATGTGTATAACAGCTACCATTCGAGGTATTGTTCTGTTTGTCTCTTATTTTACTTATGATGGAATTCATTGTATGCATTGAGGTTGCTGTATTTCTCCTAACAACACCAAACGTCTTCTTGACTCTACAGCTACTCAACCTGGGATTTCAGTAACACAGCTCTACAAAGCCTGTGCAGCTTCCTCTCTGTGTCCGGCTACAGGCTCTTCAAGATTTTCAGTCAACTTGGGATCCCAAAGTGCAATTGCATCTGCTCAGTGCTGCAACACAGACAACTGCAACTCACAGATTCTGGATGGTAGGTTTCATCAAGAGTTAAAAAGAAGATCTGATGCTACTTTTTTGCTGATATTTAATCAGTTTCTTCCATTATCTCTTTTTATGTCAGACCCCAGTTCTCAGTCTGCTAACTCCCTTCAATGCCTTGTTTGTGACCCAACAACATCTCAGTGCACCTCTCCAATAACCTGTACAGGAGATGAGACCAACTGCTTCTCTGCAACTTGTAAGATTTTATATTTAATAATGTATAACTGTTGAGAAAGCTGTACATTTTATGAAAGCTGGAAAAATAAAATAAAATGCAGTGCCAAAAAATTACACATTGGTCCTGAGTTGGTTATTATATTTCAACATATTTGAATTAAACTTAATTTAATAAACAACTACTGATTTGAATTGAATTTAAATTATTAAATGAATAACTATTCTATTTTTATGGAAATAGTGAACGATGGAACAAACACATTTCCTGCGCTGGGTTGTGCATCACAAAACACCTGTACAGCTGCTTCAGATCTGGGAAGTTTGCCATTCATGCAGAGTGTTGGTTCAATCACAAGTGGACCAGCCTGCTGTACAACGAGTTTGTGCAATGTTCCGAGTGCAACAACCACATCTGCTGCACCAACCACAACAATTGCAGCACCAACAACAACAGCACCTCCAACCACCACAACTACAGTAGCAACAACAACGGCTGAACCAACCACCACCACAATTTCAGCATCAACGACAACTGCAGCACCACCAACAACAGCACCTCCAACCACCACAACTACAGTGCTAATCACCACAACTACAGCACCAACAACAACAACAACCACTACAGCTGCTGTACCAACCACAACAACTACAGCACCAACAACAACAACAACCACTACAGCTGCTGTACCAACCACAACAACTACAGCAACAACCAATGAACCAACAACCACAACTGCAGAACAAACAACCACAACTGATGCACAAACAACCACAGCATCAACCACAATAACCACAGCACCAACAACAACCACAAGACCAACGACCATAACTGCAGCACAAACAACAACTTCAGCACCAACCACCACAACTACAGCAGTAACAACAACTGCTGCACCATCAACTACAACAACAGCACCTCACACCTCCACAACTGCAGCACTAACCACCACATCTGCTCCACCAACCACTACAACTTCGGGACCAACCACCACAGCAACAACATCACCTCCCACCACCACAACTGCAGCACTAACCACCACATCTGCAGCACAAAAAACCACAACTGATGCACAAACAACCACAGCATCAACCACCAGAACCGCAGCACCAACAACAACCACAGCACCAACGACCATAACTGCAGCACCAACGACAACTGAAGAACCAACCACAGCACTTCCCACCACCACAACTGCAGCAGCAACAACCTCAACTGCTGCACTAACAACTGCTGCACTAACTACAACTTCAGCACCAACCACCACAACTACAGTAGCAACAACAACGGCTGCACCAACCACCACCACAATTTCAGCATCAATGACAACTTCAGCACCAACCACCACAACTACAGCAGTAACAACAATTGCTGCGCCATCAACTACAACAACAGCACCTCACACCACCACAACTGCAACACTAACCACCACATCTGCAGCACAAACAACCACAACTGATGCACAAACAACCACAGCATCAACCACCAGAACCGCAGCACCAACAACAACCACAGCACCAACGACCATAACTGCAGCACCAACGACAACTGCAGAACCAACCACAGCACTTCCCACCACCACAACTACAGTAGCAACAACAACGGCTGCACCAACCACCACCACAATTTCAGCATCAATGACAACTTCAACACCAACAACAACAGCACCTCCAACCACAACTACAGTACTATTCACCACAACTACATCACCACCAACAACAACCACTACAGCTGCAGCACCAACAACCACCCCAACTGCAGAACCAACTACAACGCCAACAGCTGCAACTCCAACCACCACAACTACATCACAAACAACCACAGCATCAACCACCATAACCACAGCACCAACGACCATAACTGCAGCACCAAAGACAACTTCAGCACCAACCACCACAACTACAGCAGTAACGACAACTGCTGCACCATCAACCACAACAACAACAGCACCTCCCACCTCCACAACTGCAGCAATAACCACCACATCTACTCCACCAACCACTACAACTTCGGCACCAACTACTACAACTGCAGCAACAACAACAACCAAAGTGTCAACGACCACAACCGCAGCACCAATAACCACAACTGCTGCACTAATGACCACATTTGCACCATCAACCACAACAACAACAGCACCTCCCACCACCACAACTGCAGCACTAACCACCACATCTGCTCCACCAACCACTACAACTACAGGACCAACCACCACAACAGCAGCACCGACATCAACTGCAGAACCAACCACAGCACTTCCCACCACCACAAGTGCAGCAGCAACAACCTCAACTGCTGCACTAACAACAACTTTAGCACCAACCACAACTTCAGCACCAACCACCACAACTACAGTAGCAACAACAATGGCTGCACCAACCACCCCCACAATTTCAGCATCAATGACAACTGCAACACCAACAACAACAGCACCTCCAACCACAACTACAGTACTATTCACCACAACTACATCACCAACAACAACAACCACTACAGCTGCTGTACCAACAACAACAACTGCAGCACCAACAACCACCCCAACTGCAGAACCAACTACAACGCCAACAGCTGCAACTCCAACCACCACAACTGCAGCACAAACAACCACAACTGATGCACAAATAACCACAGCATCAACCACAATAACCACAGCACCAACAACAACCACAAGACCAACGACCATAACTGCAGCACAAACAACAACTTCAGCACCAACCACCACAACTACAGCAGTAACAACAACTGCTGCACCATCAACTACAACAGCACCTCACACCTCCACAACTGCAGCACTAACCACCACATCTACTCCACCAACCACTACAACTTCGGGACCAACCACCACAGCAACAACATCACCTCCCACCACCACAACTGCAGCACTAACCACCACATCTGCAGCACAAAAAACCACAACTGATGCACAAACAACCACAGCATCAACCACCAGAACCGCAGCACCAACAACAACCATAGCACCAACGACCATAACTGCAGCACCAACGACAACTGCAGAACCAACCACAGCACTTCCCACCACCACAAGTGCAGCAGCAACAACCTCAACTGCTGCACTAACAACAACTTTAGCACCAACCACAACTTCAGCACCAACCAGCACAACTACAGTAGCAACAACAACGGCTGCACCAACCACCACCACAATTTCAGCATCAATGACAACTTCAACACCAACAACAACAGCACCTCCAACCACAACTACAGTACTATTCACCACAACTACATCACCACCAACAACAACCACTACAGCTGCTGTACCAACAACAACAACCACTACAGCTGCTGTACCAACGACAACAACTGCAGCACCAACAACCACCCCAACTGCAGAACCAACTACAACGCCAACAACTGCAACTCCAACCACCACAACTGCATCACAAACAACCACAGCATCAACCACCATAACCACAGCACCAACAACAACCACAAGACCAACGACCATAACTGCAGCACAAACGACAACTTCAGCACCAACCACCACAACTACAGCACTAACCACCACATCTGCTCCACCAACCACTACAACTTCGGGACCAACCACCACAGTAACAACATCACCTCCCACCACCACAACTGCAGCATTAACCACCACATCTGCTCCACCAACCACTAAAACTTTGGCACCAACCACCACAGCTGCAGCAACTACAACAACCAAAGCGTCAACCACCACAACTGCACCACCGACAACCACAACTGCTGCACTAATGACCACATTTGCACCATCAACCACACCAACAACAGCACCTCCCACCACCACAACTGCAGAACCAACCACACCACTTCCCACCACCACAACTGCAGCAGTAACAACCACAACTGCTGCACTAACAACAACTTTCGGACCAACCACAACTTCAGCACCAACCACCACAACTACAGTAGCAACAACAACAGCTGCACCAACCACCACAACTACAGTACTAATCACCACAACTACAACACCAACAACAACAACCACTACAGCTGCTGTACCAACCACAACAGCTACAGCAACAACCAATGAACCAACAACCACAACTGCAGGACAAACAACCACAACTACTGCACCAACGACAACTGCAGAACCAACTACAATGCCAACAACTGCAACTCCCACCACCACAACTGCAGCACAAACAACCACAACTGATGCACAAACAACCATAGCATCAACCACCACAACCACAACACCACCAACAACCATAGCATCAACCACCACAACCACAGCACCACCAACAACCACAGCAACAACGACCATAACTGCACCAAAACCGACAACTTCAGCACCAACCATCATAACTACAGCAGTAACAACAACTACTGCACCATCAACCACTACAACTTCGGGACCAACCACCACAACTGCAGCAACAACAACCAAAGCATCAACCACCACAAATGTAGCACCAACAACCATAACTGCAGCACCAACCACCACAACAGCAGCACCAATCACAACACCTGCTGCATTGACAACAACTGCTGCACTAACAACTGCAGCAAAAACCATAACAACTGTTGAACAAACAACAACCACAACTGCACTAGCAACAACCACAACATCAACCACGACAACCACAGCACCAACAACAACTAAAGCACCAACCACCTCAACACCAGCACCGACTGCATTACCAAAAGACACAACTGCAACACCAACCACAACTGCAGCACCAACAACCACAACAACTGCATTACCAACAGCAACAACTGCAGCACCAACAACAACAACTGCTGCACTTCCAACAACAACTTCAGCAACAACCACAACTGCTCCAACAGCAACAACTATAACTGTTGAACAAATAACAACCACAACTTCCCCACCTACAACCACAACTACAGCACTAACCACCACAGCTGCAGCACCAACAACCACATCTGCAGCACCGACGACAACAGCACCTGCGACCACCACAACTGCTTCATTAATCCCCACAACTGCAACACCAACAACAACAACTGGAGCAGTACCAACCATGACTGCTTCACCAACCACCACAACTGCAGCAACAACCACCACATCTGCTCCACCAACCACCACAACTGCAGCAACAACCACCACTTCTGTTTCACCAACCACTACAACTGCGAAACCAACCACCACAACCACAACTACAGCAGCAACTGCTGAAGCAACAACTACAACTGCAGCACAAACAACCACAACTACAGCAATAACAACAACTGCTGCCCCAACCACCACAACCGTAGCCCCAACAACCACAACTACAGCATCAACAACAACTGTAGCAACAACAACTGCAGCAACAACCACCACATCTTCTCCTCCGACCACCACAACCAAAGCACAAACAACCACAACTACAGCAAGAACTGCTGAAGCAACAACCACAACTGCAGCACCGACCACAGCAGCTAGCACCACTTCAACTGCAGCAATAACAACTGCTGCACCAACCACCACAACTGCAGAACCAACAACCACTTCTACAGCACTAACAACTGCAGCAAAAACAACCACAATGTCTTCAACAACAACCTCAACAACTACAGCAAAAACTGCAGTACCAGCAACCACAACTACAGCCCCATCCACAACAGCTGCAGCACCAACCATAACTGCAGGACTAACAACATCTGCTCACAAACCCACAACTGCAGCACCAGCAACAACTATTGCATCATTCTCAACTGCATCACCAACAACAGCACCTCCCACCACTACAACTGCAGCACCACCATCAACTGCAGCACTAACAACTGCACCTGCTACCACCACAACTTCAGCACTTGTGACTACAATAACCGCAGCACAAAAAACTACAACTGCTGCACCAATAACCACAACTGCAGCACCAACATCCACAACTACTGCACTAACAACACCTTCAGCACCAACCACAACAACTGCAGCACCGCCAACAACAGCACCTCTCACCGCAACTGCTGCCACAACAATAGCACAAACAATCACAACTGCAGCAGCAACCGCTGAACCAATATCCACAACAGCACCAACAACAACCTCCACTGCAGCACCAACCACAACTGCAGCACAAACAATGACAACTGCTGCAGCAGCAATAACTACAGCATCAATGACAACTGCTGCACAAACAACCACAACTACAGCACCAACCATCACAACCACAGTACCAACATCGACAACTGCTGCACCAATCACCATTGCAGCACAAACAATCACAACAACAGATCCAACCAGAACAACTACAGCATCAACAATCACCACTACACCACTAACAACTGTTGCGCAAATAACCACAACTGCAGTACGAACCACTACAACAGCAGCACCAACTGCAATACCAACCACCACAAGTGTAGCACCAACAACCAGTAGTGCTTCTAGTGTTAGAATGTTCATACTTCAGGTCTTGGTTTCACTTTTTGTTGTCATTGTGTGAAAATTATGACTCAGAAGCATCAAGAGTAAAGTCTCGCTTTTCATGGGAATTAAGTATTTACAATCAAACAGATTCATGCTGAAAATATAGATTGATCACAAAAACTAATTTGTATAGCTACTAATGTATTTTTATGTGATATTATTTATAAATTTTTGTTAATATTTTAACAATATTTATATATGCATTAACAAGGTTTCTCTTTGATCTTTTTTGTTTGTATTTGTTGCTTATGTGTAGTTGTCTTTTTTTAATTGAAGGCTTTGCAGTTGTTTTTCACTGTCTTCTATTATTTTATTTAAACCTGCCTAAGATTCTCTCCATTGAATTTTTGCTTATAAAATATGTAAGTTGTGCATTTTTGTGACCCTTCAAAATAAATCTCTTTTAAAAATAATGTATTCTAATGTCATAAAATGTGTTCTCAAATTTGCCTTCAAGAAAAACCTCACCTATTCATAAGTGTAACCCCTTTTGGGGACATATTGTCCTCTGAAGCCAAAGGTAATTTACCGAAGTTTACCTAATTTACCTTTTGTTTTTAGAACCTTAAATTTTTGTATATTTGTAGCAGAAATTAGATCAGTCAGACTGAACAAAACTTGTATCTAAGCAACATTTTAACTTTAGTTTTACTTCTCTGCAGGCTGCTTACTGAGAATAAAACTTGTTTGATATGCATTCCTAGTTATTGTTGGTCCTGCAGCTTGAATGTGTTTTAAAAACATTTTAAAGCACATTTTACATTACATTTCAATGAAACCTTGCCGACCTCCAAAAATTGCTCTTAAGAAATTTTCCTGTTTATGGTCCAACCCAATAATGAGATGGAATTTATGCCTTTGGCTGTCTCATCTGTGTTGAGGTCTCACATGAAATATACTGTGTCAGACATCATACCCAGCAGCATCCTTTGCAGTACATGCATGTCCATCACTGAATTTACATGACTACCCATCATTTTTGCCTTGTCTCCTTTAACACCATGTGACCTCACCAAATGATATATGACAGTTTATCTTCTTTCCAGTCAATTTGCATAACACGTCAACTATTGTTAGAATGGAGTTGGGTTGTATTATAATGGCTGTGTTCAAGTTAGTGGGTTTCTCTTAGGGTTTCTAAAACACTTGCATGTTGTGATAATAGCTCCTCTTTTGTATTTGAATCTGGAGTCTGAATGGTCTGTGCACCAAAGTGAGTTGTTTTCATAAAGAATTGATTTTGATGCACTAACAAAATCAAAAAATTATTTTAATAAAGAATTCTTAACAAACAATTCTGATTTATTTTAAAAATAATTGATTTTGTGTGCCTAAGATACTAAGTGATATTAAGTGTCACCCACTGCTTAATATCACAGTGGGTGAGTGGTTTAAGGCATAAAATTGAAGATTTGCCTAAGAGTTGGTTGTGGTTCCACAACTAACTCTAAGGCAAATCTTCAATTTTATGAAAGAAATGGTCACTTTTGGTGTCAGCCTGACTCCTCCATGGGCAGTTAACACTGTGTTTGTTAGTTGTAATTACTAGTTCAATTTCTTTTCATTTTCTTTCTGACCATTGCGGGGCTTTGAACTTAAACCTCAGTAGAATATCAGCTTCTGTGCCTATATGAAGTTTAACCTCAACATACATGTATCGTAAATGTGTGGTATCACGCGAGGCATTGTTCTCTTTCTCGGAATCTGTGTTTTTCTGTGTATTTATTTTGAGTTTTCTGCGTCTCTGTGTCTCCATGTGATTCTGTCTCCCCTTGATTACTCCCAGGTGTGTCTCGTCTCCTCGATTATCCTCTGTGTATTTAATCCAACCTGTGTCCTTTGTTTATTGTTGGGTCCTCATCTCACTTGGCATCTTGCCAGCTGTATGTGTTCCTCAGTCCTGTCATTCACCCTGTCGCTACCTGTATTGAGCCCTGTTTTCGCTCAGCAGTGCTGTCTGGGATTTAGGACTGTTTTTTGGATCATCTATACAGTTTACACATCATTAAACCTTCATTCCACTTTCACCTCAGTCTACAGCGTCCTGCCTCACCACCTCACACCGCAAATCGTGACAGGCTTAGTGTTCAGATAGTGAAGGTCTACAGTTCCTATAAAAAGTGAATTAATTTCTGGGCTGAAATTATGTGCAGTTCTTTTATTTTACTTGACTGGTGTAAAGTAAAATGCCACATCTTTCCGCATCTATGACATGACACTGGTTTGGTTGATGAGTCTATCCACACTTCCTGGATGTGTGTTCTTTTGATTTTCCTATTTGTGTCTAGGGCTTTGTGTCCTTATGCCATATTTAGTCAATTTCATTCCAAACTGCCACCATTTCTTTTTCAAAGGCATGTAAAGCCCTAAGAATATTTGGGGGGAAAGTTGCTTTCAGGAGTCAAACAACAGTTTAAATTGTTCTAGCGCAATTCATTTGTAATTGCAGCTGAATGGAGCCCTGCAGCCACAAAAAGGACATGTTCTATTTAGGACGTGTATAACAGGTTCAGATTATTCCTCCCTTTGAGTCATGTAAATCATATCCTGGGGCTCTGTGTGCTTGTTTGTGTGGTTCACTCCTGGTATAGTCATGGCAATTGGGTGTTTCCAGACAACTCCTCTCCACCTGATTGTCCAATATTTTTGCTGAAGTTGACCCGGTACCTCCCACAGTTACTGTTCACTCCTTTGATGTCATACTTCCAGATTTGTTTGTTTTCTCTGTTAATCTATAATCAGACTCACCTTTTCTACTGAACTTGTCTTCAGATGAAGTTTCTCCTCTGTTCGGTCATTGCCTGCCCACTCTCACTCTCAGAGACCTTGGTGACAAATTTTCTTTTTCTCAATCCAGATCATCCAGCTGGCCTGAGGACCAATATGAACCACTCTCATGCATATTGTGTTCAGGACTACTCAATTCAAAATAATGCCTTCCACCTGCTGATATTTCTTCTCTTGTCCCAGATGCCATCCTGCAGAACCCACATCTTAAAATTAATTCTTGTTAATAAACCTCTTAAACCTTCATTTGTGTCCTTTCTGCATGCGGATCAGCAAATTACCACCAGTCATTGCACTGCACCCCTTTGTGATAAAGTGTAAGGGCACACATTTTCATTTTGAAAGCAGGACTTATTGTCTTTCTTCTCAAAACTTGTAATTTTTGTACTCAAACCTTTCTCCTCGCACTCTTGCTTACAAAACCTTTTCTGCTTGCTTTTGGAACAAAAATACATCGTCGCCTGGCAACCTCTCAGCCAATAGAATGAAAGTGTTGTACTGGATACAAAATTCCCCAATAGAAAAGCAGTTAAAAAATAATGCTGTGAGTTAGCCGGGGCTCTTGTAGACTTCTATTGTTTTTGCTTTTGTTTCTATGAAATGTTTCAGATCATAACTTAGGACATATTTGATCTTATCGTCTATAAATATGGGCTTCTTGTTTTAAGTATAGTAAATTTTTTCTGCAAATTAACTTTCAGCTGTTTGTAGCACAAAATTTGGTTTGATCAAAAATAACAGGAGCACAATATTTATACTTTCTACTCGCACTCTCCTCTAACTCCAGTTCAAGCTCACCTCAACTGCTAGAGATGTGGGAGTTTAAGGGTTTTGGGAATCTTTATCATTTCAAGGATATTTTTTCTATAAAAAGATTTCAGGTTATTCATGGAATCTGAACTCCTAGGTGGACCTGTAGAAGCACTGGGGCCTTGACTTTCACAAACATTTCCTGTTTGACCCCACGTTATTCCTTGATGAGTTATGTCAAGGTGCCAATGCTTAAGCTAATTTTACACTATCATATAGTCTGGTTGGTTAGCCATCAGCAATCTGGAAGTCTTAGGATTCAAGACATCAACCTAACTAGAAGGAACAAATGATAAATCTTAGTTCTAAAATTGTGAATGACCTTCGTGTACAAAGGGAAACAAATTCTGCTGTTGATACCAAAGGCATTTCAGTATTTTTCTTAGCATCCTGTTGCGGTAAGGAGCTGTATTCTGACTTCAACTCACCTCTATGACACAGGTCATGAAGTCATGGCACTACAACAGCTTTAGCCCTCTGAAGACAGAACCTTTTGATAAAAACATTCATACATGCAGTTGATATGGCTGTGCTCTTTGCTGCCCCACAATAAATTTCAGAATCGCTGCGCTGTTAAGTTAGTTAACCTGTAATTAACCAGAAATTCAGTCACAACATAGGAAGTTTATTGAACATAAAAACAATGTTATTGTACAGTGCAAAGGACACCAATTTTAGCTCTAGAGTACAGAGAGAAGTGAGGGGTCAGTGGTGAAGTAATGCAGTCATACAAGATGGAAGCCTGGAAGCTCAGGATTGTTAGGTCAGATGGAAGCCTGGAAGCTCAGGATTGTTAGGTCAGCTGGTTCAGGGGAATCCAGGTGCAGGATCACTGAACAGAAACAAAACTGAAGTTATTGACTTAAAGAGGAACAGCCTAGAGTCAGCACCTGTCTGGGTAATGTGACAGACTCAGACATGAACCTTCTGAGACACAGAAAGAAAATTACAAAATCAGCCTTTCACCACCTGGAGAACATTTCCAAAATGAAAGGACTTATGTCCCACCATGATCTAGAGAAACTCATCCATGCATTCATCTTTAGTTGATCTTTTACGTGGATCTTCACAGGTCTGCCTAAAAAAATCAGTCAGCTGAAACTGTCTGATGAGAGCAGCGGAATGCTGCTGTTCTCGTTCCCTCTAAAGTCAGGAAGATAAAACACATCACTCCACTTCTAAAGTACTTACACTGGCTCACTGTAGCTCAGAGAATGGACTTTACTTGTCTGATCTTCTGCATTATCACTACCCATTCACGTTCCATTCGTTCTTCCTCTTCCATCCACCTCACTGTCCATCTCAGCATCATGGAGAAAAGAGCCTTTTCTTACTCTGCTCCCAGACTTTGGAACGCTCTTTCCCCTTACATCCACAATATTGACTCTCTTCTGACCTTCAAAGCACAACTCAAAACTCATCTGCTCAAGATAGCCTTCTCTCTTTAAGTTTTAAGTTATTTCATGGCTTTGTGTTTTTAACAGCCATTTTTTATTGTTTAATTAATTAAAAATTAAAAACACAACATTGTGTTTTTAATGTTGTATAAGTGTCCTTGGATTTTTTGAAAGGTTCTGAAAAACTAAATGCATTATTATTATTATTTTTATTATTATTATTATTATTATTATTATTATTATTATTATTATTATTATTATTATATAAAATGCTTTTGAATGGCTTAGCCCCAAAATACATCTGTTGTGGTTGTACAACCTTCCAGGTCTTCTGATTCGTCTCTTCACTTTCCACTACAATGTAATATTAATTTTAGATTTTGATTGTGTTATGTTTGCATTAGTAAAACACTTTAATCACCCTACTTGCTTAGATATATTACACAAATAAACTTGACAGTCAAGATCCACAATGTGTAATCCAGTGTTGTGGTCAAAAAGAAGGAAATGGTCAGACATAAAGAGGTCAATGTCAAAATACTCATCAGAAAGAGTAATGGTCAGAGTCTGCCTCAAACTTTAACCATAAAAGAGAACCAGCAGAGATCTGTCAGAGTGAAGGCAGAAATTATCCAGAGATGTAAACATAGTCAAAGAAGAAACCACTGAATGCAGACTGAGACAAGCAGGGAGGCAGGGACTGAAGTGAGGCAAGGAGACAATAAGGACTGGGACAGGTCAACATCTTAAATCTAATTAGCAGTTTGAGGTTTAGCAGAAAACAAAAGATGACGTGAACACATGTGAATGATGCAGGCATAGCTCGAAAAAATGTGAATCATAACATAGCTATTAGAATTGGACCTGCAATCATTGTTTTACTGTCAAGCAACTATTCAAAATGTGCAGTTTTGTTTTACTTGCACCACTCCATGCCCATTCCAAGCTTCATTTGAAATACACAATATTACCACTTTCATTAGAGTAAAGAGGCTTCCAAATCATCTCTTGAAATACAGAATTGTTGCATATTTTAGAGAAACAAACAGATGTAAATGTATGTATTCTTTTCTAATATTGTTAACATTATAGAACAAAAGGATCTCCTGAAATATTTATTTTCACTTGAATGATTTTTGAATAAAAATGTTGGCACTACTCAAATGCCCTACCAAATAATTTTTTTTGTTGGTTTTAATGTTAACATTTCTCACATTCTGACTATGTTCTTTTTACTATGGGTAGAATATGGAGTCTTGACTTGAATGTCTGTCTGTCTGTCTGTCTGTCTGTCTGTCTGTCTGTCTGTCTGTCTATCTGTCTATCTATCTAACTGAACCAGGTAGTTTTTGACATCATGCACCTGCTCTACCACTGAGCCATGTGGTGGCTCTATGGAATATTATTTAGAAAAATGTAATCAAAACAGCCATTTTTAAAAATTGTATTTTCTTGTTGCATGTCTCGTTTTCAATTAAGAATGTATTGGTAAGAGTATCTTGACATATTCAAACCACATTTTGAAACTTAGTTTTGACCATTTTTTATAAGTATCAAGGTTTTATATGTATTATGGTTTAAAACTTAGTAAATAAGTTACATAAGTTTAAACTTAACCAGAATAATTTCATTCCTGGTCAAACAGCAAGTGTTACTTCATGTCCACAACAATGGAAACAAAAGCACAAATTGTTCAGGCCTTATTTTTGGAACGCCTTTTTTGGTGGTGCTGTGTGTGAGTAATTAAATAATAGGTTTCATTGTAGTTAATTGACATTTTCAATTTAATATTCCCCTGTTTTAAATGATATGTTCGGTGTATTAAGGTGTGCTGACATGCTTTCGGGATGCTTTGACAAATCCAAAAATACATTCTTGGGTTGTGTCCCCATAAAAATGGAAACACACCCAATCAGTGAGGTCATCTGTTCAGCATATAAAGTTCAGAAGAACTCTGAATGCTCAGTATCAGATTCCAGAGAAACTAACCTGTAGGATCCACCTGAACATCACCATGAAGCTGATTGTTTCCCTAACTTTTATCTGGGCACTGTACACTACAGGTAACATAATCTATTATGTTTTATTTGTTCGTTAATTAGAAGCCCTCCAAATTACATTTGGTATCGTTCTTTCAGCTGTAGCTGTAAACATTGGTGCTCAAAAAACAGACAAAATAGTTTACAGATATTTCTTGATTTTACCATAGTATTTGAATTTACTGAAATTGGATCCAAACAATTATTTTTTTCCAACAACAGACTACTTATCATGCAAGTCATGGTTGCTATATGTTGTCTAATGTTTGGAGTTTAAATTGGTTCTCTATGCATCATTGAATCTTGTGCTCTCTCTGTCATCATTAGCAATGCTATTCTTTCGCATAGTATTATGAATAATAATGTTTAATTACCATTACAATTTTACGTACTTCACGTTTTGAAAATTCTTAGGTTCTTTAGTTGTTATTGTTTAAGGGGGGAGAGGAAGGCCGAGAGATGGTTGGCAGTTATGTCTACATAGAATTTTTTGTCCTGTTCCAATATTTTATGTCTTAAATTCTGTCAATATATCAAAATTAAATAATAAAAAGTATCAGTATCGGTATCTGCAAGATGGGTATGTATTTATTTGGTATGAGATTGATACCAAACTGTAAGTGTTAGAGGTATGCAATACTTTATCAACTAATGTCACTTTGTTTAAACATTTGGTTTCTCATTTTATCTCTTAAAAATCCACTTAAAATATGTAAAATATGTAACATGTAAATGTATATCTGTGTTGGAGTTCAAACTTTCTGAGAATTAAAAAAGTCTTTGTTCTTTCACTTGGATGCAGCTGGAGCCCTGACATGTATGACCTGCACAGACAAGACATGTTCAAGCACAGTACCACTAACATGTGGCTCAGAGACCATGTGTATAACAGCTACCATACGAGGTATCGTTCTGTTTGTCTCTCATTTCAATTATGATGGAATTCACTGTATGCATTGAGGTTGATGTATTTCTCCTAACAACACCAAACTTCTCCTTGACTCTACAGCTACTCAACCTGGAATTTCAGTAACACAGCTCTACAAAGCCTGTGCAGCTTCCTCTCTGTGTCCGGCTACAGCCTCTTCAACATTTTCAGTCAACTTGGGATCCCAAAGTGCAATTGCATCTGCTCAGTGCTGCAACACAGACAACTGCAACTCACAGATTCTGGATGGTAGGTTTCATCAAGAGTTAAAAAGTAAAAAAATCTGGGCATCCTTTTATCCTTTACAATTTTACTGTTTTTCTGCAATATTTAAAAAGTTTCTCTTCCAATGTCTTTCTTTGAATCAGCCCCCAGTCTTCAGCCCGCTAGCTCTCTTCAATGCCTTGTTTGTGACCCCACAACATCTCAGTGCACCACTCCAATAACCTGTTCAGGAGATGAGACCAACTGCTTCTCTGCAACTTGTAAGTTTTCATATTTGATAACTTGGACAAATTGAAGACTAATTCCAATTTTATATTAATAATACATCTTAGGAAAATACAACTATATTATATTTTAAACAAATAATATAATTATATCCTGTCTTTTGGGGGGGTTTTACAGTGAACGATGGAACAAGCACATTTCCTGCGCTGGGTTGTGCATCACCAAACACCTGTACAGCTGCTTCAGATCTGGGAAGTTTGCCGTTCATGCAGAGTGTTGGTTCAATCACCAGTGGACCAATCTGCTGTACAGGCAGTTTGTGCAATAATCCTAGTATAACCACCACAGCTGCACCAACTACTACCCCAGCATCAACTACTACAATCACGACCCCAGCACCAACTACTGCAACCACTACCCCAGCACCAACTACTACAACCACTACCCCAGCACCAACTACTGCAACCACTACCCCAGCACCAACTACTACAACCACGACCCCAGCACCAACTACTACAACCACGACCCCAGCACCAACCACTACAACCACTACCCCAGCACCAACGACTGCAACCACTACCCCAGCACCAACTACTACAACCACAACCCCAGCACCAACTACTACAACCACTACCCCAGCACCAACCACTACAACCACTACCCCAGCACCAACGACTGCAACCACTACCCCAGCACCAACTACTGCAACCACTACCCCAGCACCAATTACTACAACCACGACCCCAGCACCAACTACTACAACCACGACCCAAGCACCAACTACTGCAACCACTACCCCAGTACCAACTACTACAACCACAACCCCAGCACCAACTACTGCAACCACTACCCCAGCACCAACTACTACAACCCTAACCCCAGCACCAACTACTACAACCACTACCCCAGCACCAACTACTGCAACCACTACCCCAGCACCAACTACTACAACCACAACCCCAGCACCAACTACTGCAACCACTACCCCAGCACCAACTACTGCAACCACTACCCCAGCACCAACTACTACAACCACAACCCCAGCACCAACTACTGCAACCACTACCCCAGCACCAATTACTATAACCACGACCCCAGCACCAACTACTACAACCACTACCCCAGCACCAACTACTACAACCATGACCCCAGCACCAACTACTGCAACCACTACCCCAGTACTAACTACTACAACCACAACCCCAGCACCAACTACTGCAACCACTACCCCAGCACCAACTACTACAACCACGACCCCTGCACCAACTACTACAACCACGAACCCAGCACCAACTACTACAACCACAACCCCAGCACCAATTACTACCACTACCCCAGCACCAACTACTGCAACCACTACCCCAGCACCAACTACTACAATCACTACCCCAGCACCAACTACTACAACCACTACCCCAGCACCAACTACTACAACCACTACCCCAGCGCCAACTACTACAACCACTACCCCAGCACCAACGACTGCAACCACTACCCCAGCACCAACTACTACAACCACAACCCCAGCACCAACTACTACAACCATGACCCCAGCACCAACTACTACAACCACAACCCCAGCACCAATTACTACCACTACCCCAGCACCAACTACTGCAACCACGACCCCAGCACCAACTACTACAACCACGACCCCAGCACCAACTACTACAACCACGACCCCAGCACCAACTACTACAACCACGACCCCAGCACCTACTACTGCAACCACTACCCCAGCACCAATTACTACAACCACGACCCCAGCACCTACTACTACAACCACGACCCCAGCACCTACTACTGCAACCACTACCCCAGCACCAACTACTGCAACCACTACCCCAGCACCAACTACTACAACCACGACCCCAGCACCTACTACTGCAACCACTACCCCAGCACCAACTACTGCAACCACTACCCCAGTACCAATTACTGCAACCACTACCCCAGCACCAACTACTACAACCACGACCCCAGCACCAACTACTACAACCACTACCCCAGCACCAACTACTACAACCACAACCCCAGCACCAATTACTACCACTACCCCAGCACCAACTACTGCAACCACTACCCCAGCACCAACTACTACAATCACTACCCCAGCACCAACTACTACAACCACAACCCCAGCACCAACTACTGCAACCACGACCCCAGCACCAACTACTACAACCACAACCCCAGCACCAACTACTGCAACCACTACCCCAGCACCAACTACTACAACCCTAACCCCAGCACCAACTACTACAACCACTACCCCAGCACCAACTACTGCAACCACTACCCCAGCACCAACTACTACAACCACAACCCCAGCACCAACTACTGCAACCACTACCCCAGCACCAATTACTATAACGACCCCAGCACCAACTACTACAACCACGACCCCAGCACCAACTACTACAACCATGACCCCAGCACCAACTACTGCAACCACTACCCCAGTACTAACTACTACAACCACAACCCCAGCACCAACTACTGCAACCACTACCCCAGCACCAACTACTACAACCACGACCCCTGCACCAACTACTACAACCACAAACCCAGCACCAACTACTACAACCACAACCCCAGCACCAATTACTACCACTACCCCACCAACTACTGCAACCACTACCCCAGCACCAACTACTACAATCACTACCCCAGCACCAACTACTACAACCACTACCCCAGCACCAACTACTACAACCACTACCCCAGCGCCAACTACTACAACCACTACCCCAGCACCAACGACTGCAACCACTACCCCAGCACCAACTACTACAACCACAACCCCAGCACCAACTACTACAACCACGACCCCAGCACCAACTACTACAACCACAACCCCAGCACCAATTACTACCACTACCCCAGCACCAACTACTGCAACCACGACCCCAGCACCAACTACTACAACCACGACCCCAGCACCAACTACTACAACCACGACCCCAGCACCAACTACTACAACCACGACCCCAGCACCAACTACTGCAACCACTACCCCAGTACCAATTACTACAACCACGACCCCAGCACCTACTACTACAACCACAACCCCAGCACCTACTACTGCAACCACTACCCCAGCACCAACTACTGCAACCACTACCCCAGCACCAACTACTACAACCACGACCCCAGCACCTACTACTGCAACCACTACCCCAGCACCAACTACTACAACCACTACCCCAGTACCAATTACTGCAACCACTACCCCAGCACCAACTACTACAACCACGACCCCAGCACCAACTACTACAACCACTACCCCAGCACCAACTACTACAACCACAACCCCAGCATCAATTACTACCACTACCCCAGCACCAACTACTGCAACCACTACCCCAGCACCAACTACTACAATCACTACCCCAGCACCAACTACTACAACCACTACCCCAGCACCAACTACTACAACCACTACCCCAGCGCTAACTACTACAACCACTACCCCAGCACCAACTACTACAACCACGACCCCAGCACCAACTACTACAACCACTACCCCAGCACTAACTACTACAACCACTACCCCAGCACCAACTACTACAACCACAACCCCAGCACCAATTACTACCACTACCCCAGCACCAACTACTGCAACCACGACCCCAGCACCTACTACTACAACCACTACCCCAGCACCAACTACTACAACCACTACCCCAGCACCAACTACTACAACCATTACCCCAGCACCAACTACTACAACCACTACCCCAGCACCAACTACTACAACCATTACCCCAGCACCAACTACTACAACCACGACCCCAGCACCAACTACTACAACTACTTCCCCTGCACCAACTACTACAACCACGACCCCAGCACCAACTACTACAACCACTACCCCAGCACCAACTACCACAACCACTGCATCTTCAACTGTTGCAGCCACCACCACATCAACCACCAGTGATGCATCTAGCTTCAGTCTTGGTCTTCTCCATCTGATTCTTGGATTTTTTATCTTTATCATTTAGCAACTTCACAAGAAATTATGGTTGTCCTACCTGAACAGATGTAAAAAAAAAAAAAGTAAAGCCAAAGTTTTTTGAAGACTTGCTATTTACCGCTGAACAAAATGAAAAAAACAGTGTAACTTTAGTTTACATTTAAAATACTATTTAATAAAACAACCTAGTTAAATATGTATTTTATTAAATACATTTCTTTGTGAACCATCTACTTTTCTTTTTATGTCATTGTTTCTTTTACAATAAAAATTTCTAAAAGTATTTGAAGTATTTAAGTTTTTTAATTAAATTGCCATTTTAAGTATAATCCATTTGGTTCGTTTTGAAAACTTTGCATGTGGAAATTTACTTTTACTTGAATTAGATAAGATGTTGTGCTATTTAACAATCATGTTGGGTACTTGCTGTATTTAATTCAGTTCAGTTAATTTAAAACCATCCATTCAAAAAACCCACTACCCAACTGAAATATACAAAGTATACAGTTAAAAGGTAGATTTCAGATATTATATTCCAATTCGACCTAAAGGGAAGATGGAGTCATTTATCAAGCAAAATCGCTTTCTGCTCTGTATTACCCTTAACAACCACCAGCATTGTGCTACTGATTGCTAACAGTGACTGATCTTAGGCAGGAGTTTGATCACCCATCCATCTCGCTACATCCAGTGGGTGGCGCAGGTTGCTACAATCGATAGTAGCCACACAGGCTACAAACATCAAATGCACCCAGTACAACACTTTTATCCTATTGGCTGAGAGGTTGCCAGGCAACTGTGCCAAAATAATTTTCAAAAACAAGCAGAGTCTGAGCAGAGACTTTGAGCACGAGAAGTTTTGAGTACAAGCATCAAAAATTTTGAGCAGAAAGACATAAAATACTGCTTTCAAATTGAAAAGATGCCTGTTAAATATTATTAAAATGCACAGATCAATTGTTAGTACAACTTCCTTTAAATAAAGCAAGATGTGTGCTTCTCTGCTACAATGTAGCGGTAGGGAAACAGAAGTTAAATATAAACAGTAGTCTTTTAAAACACATTTATTGCTTATTAAACATATGTTTACACCAGAATAAATCAGCATAGAAAACTATAGAAAAAAGCAAATATAGAGGCTCACAGGCCAAATCAGGGCTACCATAATTATATATATTGCTCCATAGACTCTAGAGGGACACATTAAACATTAAGATCATATTTGTGTGCTTAAATATCATTTTATTCATCAAAATAAACTTAATTTTATTTATATTGCACCAAATTACTTCAATATAAAAATATTGCGGAATATATACATATCAGTAGGATTTCTTCATGAATTAATTGATTGCAGAAACATCTATTTATTATTTTTTTTATTTTCACAATTAATATTATTAACATGTTTACATATGACTTTCACGTAGCCCTAAGTGAAAATATGTTTGACTCATCTGCTTTAGAAAATGACTAAGGACAATGTATGATGTAAAATGAAGTCCAAAAAGAGAACGATATTTGTGGGATGTCCGTTTTTGCATTTTTGTTACATGACTTAATTATATTGTTTGTGTGAACTCCTCAAACCATTCAAATGTTGATGTGCCTAAAAGGGTGTGTCAAGGTGTGTTTAGGTGTGAGAGAAGAGAAACAAAAAAATAAAGTTTTTCATGCGAACATGGCCAGCCACCAGTAAAGCTGACCTTTACTGAATACAAACTTTAGTATTACTGCTGCTTTTAAGAAGCGGGAGAAGGAAATTAATCTACAGAATCAACAAGATCACCAGGATGAAGCTAATTTTTTTACTGATTCTCATCTGGGCCCTCTACAGTACAGGTAACACTCTATCATTTCTTCAAGAAATAGAGCTGATAGTTTTCAGCCATTTTCTTACATATGGTAATGTAAATTATGTGGAGATGTTGAACATTATTTGTGAGAATATTTCACAGTTAAAATTTTGAAGACTGACATGGAGATGTTAAAACTTCTGCTCATTTTTTGTGTGTTTCAGTTTGTAAGAGAAGAATTATTGGTATCGTACATAAATAGAGCTGTCTATTTTATTCTGTGATTGCAGCTGGAGCCCTGACATGTATGACCTGCACAGACCAGATGTGTACAAGCACAGTACCACTAACATGTGGCTCAGAGACCATGTGGATAACAGCTACCATACGAGGTATTGTTCTGTTTGTCTCTCATTTCAATTATGATGGAATTCACTGTATGCATTGAGGTTGATGTATTTCTCCTAACAACACCAAACTTCTCCTTAACTCTGTAGATACTCAACCTGGGATTTCAGTAACACAGCTCTACAAAGCCTGTGCAGCTTCCTCTCTGTGTCCGGCTACAGGCTCCTCAACATTTTCAGTCAACTTGGGATCCCAAAGTGCAATTGCATCTGCTCAGTGCTGCAACACAAATAACTGCAACTCACAGATTCTGGATGGTAGGTTTCATCAAGAGTTAAAAAGTAAAAAAATCTGGGCATCCTTTTTTCCTTTACAATTTTACTGTTTTTCTGCAATATTTAATAAGTTTCTCTTCCAATGTCTTTCTTTGAATCAGCCCCCAGTCTTCAGCCTGCTAGCTCTCTTCAATGCCTTGTTTGTGACCCCACAACATCTCAGTGCACCACTCCAATAACCTGTTCAGGAGATGAGACCAACTGCTTGTCTGCAATTTGTAACTTTAACAAAATACTAACTAATCTTATGTACATTTTTCTTAATATCAGTGAGCGCAAATATTAATGCTTAATCTGTACTGTATGCTAGACAGAAGTTTATTATTAAAAATGTATTCACTTAACAGAAGAAGTGGTATGGAACTTCATTTATATTGCCTTATCAAAGGTTTAATGTAACTATACCCTGCTTTTTACGTCAACAGTGAACGATGGAACAAACACATTTTCTGCACTGGGTTGTGCATCACCAAACACCTGTACAGCTGCTTCAGATCTGGGAAGTTTGCCATTCATAAAGAGTGTTGGTTCAATCACCATTGGACCAACATGCTGTACAGGCAGTTTGTGCAATAATCCAAGTATAACCACCACAGCTGCACCAACCACTACAACCAGAACAACTGGGGCAGCAACAACAACTTCAAGAATATCTCTGACCATCACATCCACAACAAGAGGTGACAAATTAAAAGTATTAAAGAAAGGATTGTTACAAAAGAAGAGTGCATTATTTAATTTTATAAATGTTTTGTGTTTCTAATTTTAACCCAGAAATCAGATATTTTGACTTTCAACTATATCAAAGCATCATCAAAATATCAGTAAAACAAATATTTTTCACTTCAGTACTTATTTCTAATTCCAGATGGAACCCTGCAGTGTCTGACATGCACAGATGCGACATGTTCAAGCACAGTTTCAGTAACATGCAGCTCAGAAACGATGTGTATAACAGCTTCTCTCTTAGGTATCACTCTCTTCAAATTGACTTTTACTTCAGAACTAAATTCGGGTCAGGTGGCATGAGCTCTGATTTGTTTTCTAACAAGAACCAAAGGCTCTTTGACTTAGCTTCTTCATCTGAAGCAACACAGCAACAAATCTACAAAGGCTGTGCAGCTTCCTCTCTGTGTCCCAGAACAGGCACTCAGACTTTTTCAGTCAACATGGGCTTCCAAAGTGGTGTAGCCTCTGCTGAGTGTTGCAACACCAACAACTGCAACTTACAGACTCTGACTTGTAAGTTTCATTACAGAAAAAAAAAAAACATCATTATGAATTCTTCTCTTTATTAAGTGTCATGACTGGAGGTTTCTGGATTTTGCTTTTGCTCTTCATTTTATTTATAAATTGTGTTTTAGTTCACTCTTGATTATTCATTGTCAATTTCTTGTTAGATCTTTCTCATTTTTATGCGTTTTTTTTTGTTTCAGGCACTCATGGTGTTTCTATTCATCTTGGTGTTCTTTTATGTCTGAATCTACATCTGTCATTTTCTACTGATTCTAGTTATTTCTTTGTTTCATCCCTCTGTGTTCCTTAGTTCTTGATCAGCCTTGTTTCTGTTTGGTTCTTTGTTTCCCCCCCATGTCTTTGTCTCTTTCTAGTTTATCATGTTTTGTTTAGTCTTAATGTTTTTTTCAGTATTAGAATTATTTCCATCTCTCTTGTGTTTCCTCCCGCCTGAGTGAAGTTGCCCCAGCCGGACAAAATTGGTGTCCAGAAACTCTACTACGTTGTGCTGGTTTATGCAGCAATTATTTTTGTTTCTGCTGCTTTGGTTTTTAAATATTAATGAAAGTTAATATTTAAACACTAAAAGAAAGTTTAAGATCTTAAACTTTCTTTAATTTTTAAAGCCAAAGCAGCACAAACCTTTTCTCTTTTTTTGCTGCACAAACCAGCTCAAATGTAGCAATTCTTCAAAGTGCTACATTTGACACCAGGTTTGTCTGATTTGAAGAAGACGGGAGCAGCTGGTTGACCTTTCATAATCTCTGGAAACATTTCTTAATATCTTTAAACTGACAATGGTGCAAACAAAAAATGTTGCTGCACAAATGTTTGACAAAATTTTTTGTCTGATTTGAAGAAAGTGGGGGAGCTGGAGCAACTTCATTCAGGTTTTCCTCCCTCACTCTTTTGTGTTTCCTTGTATACTTTCCCAGCTTCCTATTCCATCTTCTGCCAGCCCCTCAGCCTGACTCCTGCTAAAAAACTCACACCTACAATAAAGTTACGTCAATTAGCCATTGTTTTCACTTTCTACCTCCAGAAATCAAATATGTCTGGGGGTATATCTGATTTCTGGAGGAGGAGTATTTAAGCTCCTCCACTTCAGTCACAATTCGCCAGTCTGTCTCGAGACATTCACGTCACTTTCTCTTCGTCATTTTCTTCCTTTCTGTCTAGTTGCTGTGTCTCTGGTTTGGACTTGTTTTGGATTTTGTGTGTGTATCTATGTGCGTGTGTTACTCTTCTATTACCATTTTTGTAAAATTATCTATTGTATTTCAAGTCGTTTTTGCCTCCTGCATTTGAGTCTGATTTTAACTAACCATGACATAAGCTGTTGTTGTGTTTTGTCCCATCATGCAACAGCATGATGGGACAAAAATTGACAGTACCTAGTTCTGAGTATCTAAATGGCCTGAAGTGTGTTGCTTGTGACCCCAGCCCTTCTCAGTGCAAAACTCCAGCAGCATATTCAGGAGGTGGGGGCAACTGCTTTCCAACAACTGGTGAGTTTCCAGCCTTAATATTTCAACATCTCCTCTTTAACTTATGCTAAACATATTAACTTTCATAAACTTTTTATACATTGTGCCAAATATAATTTTAAATACTGGAAATACAGTAATGTCTAAATGTAATTTGTATTTGAATGCATCTGCTGAAAAAAAGACTAAAGAATCCAAAAATCCTAAAAATGGACATTTCAGTTTTTCCAGGGATATTCAAGTTTTTCTCTAAAATGTCTAATTTTTTTCAACAGCTCAATAGCAGAAGAGAAATGATATTGACAAAAAAAAAACTGATTGAAAAATCATTTAACGTGAACAGTAGCAGGTGTTTGGTTGTAAACTCCAAAACTGCTGCTGGGAGCCTGGCTACTCAACCTTTCATGATGAACTTTCCAGTGGAAACAACCTGCTGTGACAGTGTCTTGATCTGCATACATCAACCCCAGCACCAACCACAAACTATGGATGCAACGCCAGCTTCAACTACAACAATAGAAACACCAACTTATTATTTTTTTTCTGGGGAAGTGTGGCCAAGGTAAACTCACACAAATCCCAGATATCAGCCATGTGGGACTTTCATGTGTTGAAATGTAACCAGTATAAATGTTTTCGACTTGGGCCCAGTTAAATCTTTAGCTCTCTCATTTTTCAAGTCAAGTTAGATGCAAAGAAATACAGAATTTATTTTATGACATGGATGATTCTGAGATGGTTTTATATTGTAACATCTTGTCAGTGTTGTAGAGGTTAAACTATGAAAGTTTATTTAAATCACACCTTTCACTGAAGGTGAAAGATGCAAATATGTTCTACGATTCTCCTGAGCACAGAAACAAACAGTAGTGACCGAAAAAGATGTGCTAGTTATCAATCATGTTTAGATGAGTTTGTAGGAGATCATCTGTTTTCCAATCAATATAAAATCTTGATCAAATTAATAAAAGCAATCTTGGTGAAGAACACCACATGTAGATCCAGGTTTATTATTTCACTAACCATCCAATAACTGGAAGTTGTTTTGCGTGACTTCTTCTCTGAGAGAACCTTCAACACGAGGTCTTTGCAGCAGAATATGGTGGGTTTCATTGTACATTTGGACATTCTTCTTTGCATTTGTGTCTTTTCAGGTCTTTTGAGGCAGCTTCTCCTTATGCATGCATTTCAATTGTTGTGCCAAAAAGTTGATCACCATATCAAAGCTGTAACTTGCAGGCTGCTTCCCTGGGAAACAGGGTGTGCATGTTAAGATTTGCAGTAGATAGGTGGTGAGGCAGACGCAGAGGACTCATTAAATTATTAATTTAATGATGTAGTCGGAAATACAAAGTCCAAAACCCAGGTAGCGCAGATTGAGTGAAAGGCTAAGAGCTCAAATTCTGGTAGCAACTGGTTACAAAATTACTGGGAGCAGACAAGACCGCAAGACACACTTGACAGATTAGACAAGGATCCGACGAGGAACAAGGAACGCAGGTAGGATTAAATACACAGAGGGTAATAAGGGAAACGAAACACAGCAGGGAACAATCAAGAGGTAGATAGAACAACATGAGACTCATTAGACACAGAACCCTAAAATAAGCACAAAGAAAACTAAAATACACACATTGCACACCCTTACATTAAGGATGCGCACCTCTAATATCTATTATGGTTATATTTGTGTTATTAATATTTAAGATCCTGGATTTACAACATTTTGTTGATCTAAATAATGTTGCATAAATAATTTTTATTTTGCATCTTTATATTTAAAAATCACCATAGCATGTACTGTATATGCTGGTAAATAGTAAGGTTTCTCTTTACCTAACTTTAACAAAAGCATCAGACAGTAAGTACTCTGATGAATTGTATTCTGTATTAATTTAGTTATTATGAGGGAAGATAATATTTAGATGATACAAAGTATAAATTCTTTACAATTGATGAAACAAGAACAAGTCCAGCACTCAGTTTCATATGTCCAAACACTGGGCTATCACTCACAATTTGGCTTTTTTGGCCTTTACCATATTTATAAAACCACAGTTTAATTTTCAAGTCGTTTTTTGACAAATAAATTGATTCACCATCTATGAATAACATCTCCTATTGTAATGTTAAACTAAGGGCCTTTTTGCGAGTTTTCAAGCAAATCCTTCTGAAAGCCAGGGCTTTAATGATATGTCAACAACTCAGACAAAACAAACACAGACACGTCCCATTTCACTAAGAGAGTTACTTTCTTTACAGTAAGAAGTTTGGACACACTTAGGTCACTAAATCTTTAAACAGTTTGAGGATTTTAAGGTAACACATTGTCTGTTCATCTGTTTAAACAATTTTATGAAAGTATAAAATATAAACAGTACAGGAAGAGTGAGTCATTGTAGAATTCAGGAAGAAACTTGTTTCTGATGTCCAAAACTACGTCGTGGCCTTCTATTTCCAAAAACCGCAGGTGTTAACAGGTGATTTGATTTGAACACACTTCTGATTTTAATGTTTGCAAAAAATATTAGATTTATTTCTTGCAAAAGAAGTGACAAAATTAATTACTAAAGTGTCCTAAAACTTTGTCAAAACAAAAAATAATCTCATAAAGGTGTTCCTAAAAAGTGTCTAAAAAAGTGGTCAAAAACCATTTACAACTTCCCGTCAACACACCAGACATTTACCAAACAATAGACCTCCACCCAGCAACCGGTGTGTTCTTTATTACTCAAGTTTATGGGAGGGTCTAACAATTAACAACGTAATCTAAACAATTCCAAATAGCTCAGTTGGAGACAAACATTTGTTGAACCTTTTGAGCTGTAGCAGTGCACTGTAACAAATTGCCCTGTATTTTTACAGTAAAATGCTGGCAGCAGGGTTGCCAGCATTATACCGTTAATATACAGTACCCTTACTGTAATCAACTTTACAGTATATTACCGTCACAAAAGAAATCTTTTGATTACAGCACATTGCTGTTTTTTTATCAGATTTACAGTAGACTACTGGCAGCAGTGTTGCCAGTATATTACCGTTTTTCTATGGTACCATTACTGTTGAATTCACATACAGCTTACTACTGTAAATTTCCAATATAAAATAGAAACATGAAAAGAAAACACTTAGAAAATGTAAGTTCCATCATGTCAAACATTTATTTGGAAAAAAAAAAGAACCAACTCAAACATTGACTCATACACAGTCTTTAGTGGGCCACATAATAAAGACGAAGGTTTTGAAACGACAATGTATGTGTGCCTTAAACCTAAACCTTTTCTACAAGAATGTTGAGGGTAAACTGTACAAAGTAAGTCATATTCTGGAAAAACAGTAAAAAAATCACCATCTATTTTGTGAAATAAATTTCTTAACTGATTTAAAGAGTATTTGAATAAAGCATGAATTGCGGCCTTTTGATTAGTCTGAAATAAAATAAGTATGAAATAAATTATGGAAATAATGCATTGTACAACTCAGCACACTACTTTTTCAATACAAAATACTACTTTTTGTGGAAGTGAGGAACAATATGATGCAACATAAAACAAATGAAACATTTAACTTTAGATGTGCCTCTGCTGCACCACCTGCACCACCTGAATACAATAATAGGTCATTAGCAAGACTCTGGAGAACTTATCTACACAAGGAGGAGGTAATGAGCCATTTCATTCCAGTGTTTTGTACCTGTGGCACATTGAAAAACTGCAGGACACCTGGAGGACTGGAGTTTGACACCCCTGTTCTAGAGGTTGCTTCCACATGTCACAACAACATGTCTTCTTCAGAAATACAGTAGCGTTCTGTTTAAAGACAGCCTCCTTACCGTTGAATCTAAAATCATTCCCAAAATGCAATGCTACTCACAGTATACTACAGTATTTTATTAAAAACAGTAATAATTGCCCAGAATGCATTGTTTTTCACGGTGCAGTATCGTTTTCAATAGAAACAGTATGATACGGTTCAGTTTTGGCCATTTTTTTACAGTAATTTGTTACAGTGTATAGATACTGACTTTTAATCGAGCTGTCTATTTCTTCAATAGGTGGGGGTCCACTGAATGGACCTGACTGAATCTTTTATGTACGACTGGATTTATTTTACTTTTATAAAATGCCTTGAGAGATAATTATTGTCAATTGCCGCTTTATGAATTAACTGAATTGAATAGAAAAAATATTAGAAATATCATTACTATCATTGTCATAATCATAAGCACAACAATTTGTGTACTGTTTACATGTCATTTGATTCGTCTTTATCTCTTTCTGTTTACTGACTACACTCTGACGCATCTTTTTCTTGCTATACCTGTTTTGAATTTGCTACGTAACATAAATTGGACCCTGGTTGTGTGTCTCTTCCTGTTGTTCAGAGAGGAATACATTTCTTTGTGAAATCAGGTAAATCCGGGGTGTGGCCATCCAACTGATCTGCCAGTTTGACTTACAGTAAGTCCTGCACTGTTGTTCTCAAGGCCCCACCTGACTCAACTTGACTGATAATTAAAGGATATTTATTTCTTTTTGTCTTTTAGCTGGACTTTCTCAAACACCGCCCTTCCAAAGAAGTTGTGCTTTTCATAGAACCTGCATGTTATTGTCAGTCAAGGAGACAAATGTCCATGCTTTTTTTTTTTTTTTTTTTTGACAATGATAACAATGAAACTGATGCATAGGAGGAATTTGGATAAAACATGAGAGGCAAAACAAATTCAACTTGTCCATCTCGCTGACTCATGTTGACTCAATTTGAACTCTTACTCAGAAATTAATTTTTCTAAACTGAGTTTCTATTCCTAAGCCATAATTGCTGAAAAGAAAGGACACATTTTACAAAAGGTCACTTCCTAATATAACTCCAGTTACTTAGACTTAGAGACTTAGACTTAGACTTCCTTTATTGTCATTGTACAAAAAAAAACACAAGGTGAATCTTGACAACGAAATGTCGTTACTTGGCTACCAGTGTAGCAGAGCTAAAACCTTATACTACACAATAAATAAATAAATACAATACAAGTGCCATAGAATTCATGAATGTTTTAATTGTCGAGAATACATCTGGACTTCCTATGTTCAGGACAAAGGAAGCAAATACTAATAAAACCTTTCAAGACAGTCCCCTCCCTGTGAAGGCGTCACTTTAAACATTTTTTTCATTTCATACCATTCAACTTCTAGAAACTTGATGAACCCCAAAGAAAATAATCTCCGTCAGTTACATTCTGATCTAGCTCTGTCATGTCCTGAGCCATCACTAAAATATGTCAAAAGGAGCAGGAGTGGAAGAAAACTTGT